ATCTGACCTTGACCTCCACCCTCTGAATGGAGCCTGATGCAAACCCAGTGGGAAGCCCAGGGGGGCTGTGAGCACGGTTCCAAGAGACAGGGGGTGGTGGCACATGCCTATAATCCCAGAATTTAGGAGGAGGCTGAGGCAGGAAGATCACAAGTTTGAATCCAGCCTAATTCCCCATTTTCCCCCTTCCCTACTTGGGGATCCAGCACGGATAGGACACGATGCCTGGATCTGTGGGAGCCATCCTGAAATGACGCGGCAACTAGCTTGACACAGGAATACCAACAGTTCTATCGAACAATCTGATCTGGTAGGATAAAGCTCGCTTCAGGACACCAAGCATGGGGCTGAATGCCAGCTACCCCTTTTAGATGGATGATGTGCTCACCAATTTGCCAGGGTTTCCAGCCATCCCTATCTCATTACCCTGGCCCACTTCACTCACTTACCTTTTTGCAGGCCCAGGGGCAAGTCCAATGGCAATGCAACCTGACCACCCCAGCACTGTGAGCACCCTGAGGGGACCCAGCCTCCGAGTGCTGGGTACTCAGTAGGAACTGGCCACAGTCTGGCTCAGGATGCCCAAGGGAACTTTCTGAAACAGCTCTGCCCACTGAGGCAGCCACAGGCCCAGGACTGACTGGACTCAGATGTGAGCAGTGGCAGAGGAACTGAATTTTCAATTTTACTTGCTTTTAGTCAATTTAAATTTAAATGGCCACATGTGGCTGATGGTCCTGTCTGGGACAGTGTGGTAGCCATGGCCACTGTCCTGCACACTGCTTGGCTGCTGAGGTGCACAGGAGAGCTGCTCCTGGCCACTCACGTCCCTGTCCCCTACCCTGAGCCTCTCCTGCCTAGGTCTCAAACTGCCTAGGTCTCAGCCTATGAGCCTCTGCCCTGGCCGCTGCTGCTGCAGGCAGGATGAGGTCTGTGGAGGGCACTCTGGGGCTCTGTCCTGCAGCATCTCCTGGTCTCCCCCAGGGTGGACTTGATTTCCTTCTCCTGGGACCTGGGCTGGCCGGATGACCCTGCGGACAACATGCTGGTGCCTGAGGACAGACTCTCGGATGCTTCTCGGGATAGAGTTTCTGGGAGCCCTGAGCTGCCACTTGGGGGGTTTGTGTGGGCAGAGCTTGGCCTTCCTGCTGTCCCCATGCCCCCCAAGCCCCTGGGACACCTCAGCTGCATGGAGTTGGAGGAACAAAACAGGACAGAGGCTCAGGGAGCAGAGTTCCCGGCTTCCCAAGGGAGGCAATGCTGAGAGCCAGGAGTGGGCACCCTGCCTCCCTCTCTGGAACACAGGAGTCTTTGCAAGCAGAGATGAGCTGTCCCTCGTTCACCATGGTCACTGACACTGCAGACAGAGCCAGACCCAGAGACGATGCTCGGTGCCTTCAGCCAGGTGCCAACCCCCAGGTGGCAATTTCCTCTATTGCTGGGATGTGGCAGCAGGGTCTAGAGAGTCTGGGCTGCCTGCTTGGGTCATACAATGAACGTGGTACCTGACCAGGATGAGAGCCGAGATTTAACTGACCTGGAGTTGGGGGCTTTGCCCACTACATTCTTAATCTGGATGTGTCATCATGATTGTAAACACAGTGCCTTATGACACCACAGTGGTATGCTCTCTTGATTTTTTTCTTTTTATTTCCTGGTACAGGGTTTGAACCCAGGGCCTTTGCACTTATTTTTTTTGGTTTTTGAGACAGGTCTTGCTAACTCACTGTTACTTAGGCTCAGCTCAAAACTTGCAATCTTCCTGTCTCAGCTGCCTCCCAGAGGGCTCCTGATTCTTAACAGGCAGCTCAGGACTCTGAATGACCGAGGTGAAGTTGCAGGCACTCACAGCAGGTCTATGGCCTCTCCTTTTGGGTCCAAGCAGCTCCCAACTTGGAGGATAAGCAGATGCCAGCTCATCAGGGAGCAGTGATCTATAGCCTCTGGCCCAACACAAGCCCACGAAGCCTTTCTTAGTCAGGAGAGGAGGGTGAGCTCTTTGAGCCCTTAGAGGAGCAGTTGGTTCCCAGGACAGAGCTGACCTGGGTCTTGGGGGGTCCTCAGTGTACGCGAGACCATGTCCACTGCAGTCTACACAGGGGGATGCCAAGCATGCAGCTGCTTTTCTTTGGGGCTCAGTTTGTATCACCCCTAAAGGCCACAAAAGCCAACAAGGGCACGCTTGAGGCCACCCTGACAGTGTCCCTGTGACACTGTGGTGATGTCCTCTCCTGCCTTCCTCTTGCTCCCTAAAGCAGCCCCTTAGGGACCAGACTAGCAAGCCAGTGATCCTCAGAACTGTGGCCTGTTAGGGGGACACCCAGACCAACTGGGGTGGTGTTGTTGGGCATGAGCTGTAGCCTGGTCCATGAGGTCACATCTCCTACGTCACACTGTCCTGCTGCTCCAGCCCCAAGCATTCCCTGTTCCCTAGAAGAGCAGAGGGGAGTGGTGGCCCGAGGCACCAGAGTCCCACGGCACATCTGAGTCAGAAGATCCACCAAAAGCCTGCAGTGGGCCAAACCACCAGACCTGGCTGCAGTGCTAGCTTCTTAACTGTGTGACTCTGGTCAAGTTACTAAACCTTTCTGAGCCTCAATGTTATCCTGTATAAAACAGAGAGGGTTGGAGATGAGTAGGTAATGTAACATTTACAACCTTCTACAGGGTGGGAGCTCAAGAAAAAAAAAAGTAGCTAGCATTTGCCAAACCCAAGAGCAGCTCTTAAAGCTTTGTGGGATTACAGGAAACCTTTAGGAATCTGAGAAAGCTTGGAATTTCTCCCCTGAGCTGGGTGTGGAGGTGCAGCCCAGTAATCTTAGTGCTCTGGGGGGTGAGACAGGAGGATTACAAACTTGAGCCCAGTCTGAGGAACTTAGTGAGACCCTGTCTCAAAATTTAAAAAAGTGTCTAGCCTGATTTCCAAGGTTTGTCTGTCCTGTGTCTGGTGTCCTCAAGGAACCAGCTGCAGATCCTCACACTGTAATCACAGCGTCGCTTTCAGGCAGCCCCAGGCGGCTCCTTCACACACAGGAGCCAGAGCGCGAGCCTGAGCCCCAAGAAGATGGTGCTAGGTCTCCTTGGAGTCCTCCTGAGACCCTGGGTGCCTCCTTTCATCCAGAGGGACACTTCAGCAGGGACCCTCCTTTCCTCACCCACTTTGCCACCTCCAGCTCCACAGCAGGGGCCTGCCACCTCCCGGCAGCAGGGCGGCCAGTGCAGGGAGGGGAAGGGGCAAACCTGCCCTAGTTCCCTCCAATCTCTCCCCAGCACCAAGGCCTGCACCTGATCCCCCAACCCCAGACAAGCACGGGTTGCTTATTCCACACTATGAATCCCGGGATTCTGGCATTAAGAGAAGTCATTCAGCAGACCTTTTATCAGGGACTCTTCTAGTCAGGTCTGTGCACTTGCGCAGCTCTTATGTGGGGCCAAGAGGGCCTCGGCTTGGGGGAAATTTACTGCTTAACTCCAGGCTTTAAGTAGGTGCCAGCAGAGGCCTCCAGCCCTAGCATCTCCTTGGTGGTGCTTTATCTCACCTTAAATAGCTGCAGCTGGAGTTCTCCAATCATGGCCTCTCATGTCCCATGTTCCAAGCTCCTTTCTTTTCTTACTTTCATGTATGTATGTACATATGTATTTATTCTGAATTGGGTGTTGTGCCCTGGGTCTTTGCATGGAGCTAGGTCTCCAGCCCTTTTTAAAGATTTTATTTTGAGGCAGGATCTTGCTAAGTCGCTAGGTTGCCCAGGTTGGGCTCAGACTTGTGATTCTCCTGCCTCTGCTTTTAAGGTGTCATCCTCCCTGGAAGGCTCAGGGCCAGTGGGAGGGAGGGGTCATACAGGAGGGAGGGGAGACCAGGTGCCCCCATCTACTCCCACCCACCTTCCCGGGCCTGCAGTGCTACTGCAGTTTGTCTTCTGAGAGTCAGGCTGTTGGAAAAAGCTACAGGCTGTAAAGTTTTTTTTTTTTTGTTGTTGTTGTTGTTTTTTTGGATGAGACATTTATTAATACAGTTCTTTTGTTAACAACTCACACTTGATTATGTGGCAAAGACCTAGTGGAGGACCAACCCTTCGTATTTGAAACTAAAAAGAAAAGGCTTTTCCTGTGCCTGTTAGGAATTCTTCTAGGCTACAGGTTTTAGAGAGCTGAAATAGCCACTTAACACAAGATAAACATTTATTTCTGCCTCATGTAAAAGAAACCCAGGCAGCAGTCCCAGCTCCCACATGTTAGCAGTGACTCTGGCTCTTTCCATTTCCATCATCTATTGCTCAGGGGTTTCCATCCACACAGTCACATCAAAATTCCAATTCCAGGGCCAGGGATTTAGCTCAGTGGCCACCATCTGCCTGGCAAGCATAAGGTCCCAGAGTTTGATCCCTGGTACAAAAAAAAAAAAAAATCTGATTCCTATTTGACTGCTAAAGCTCTAGCCATCATGCCTGCATCCCAGGCAGAAAATGGAAGGGAAGGGCTGTTTGCTTTTTTCTTTGAAGGCTTTCTTTTCCTTCACTAGCTCTAGCTACAAGGGAGTCTGCGATGTATGGTCATTTAGCTGTATACATGGATTTTTTTAGGATAAAATCAGGCTTCTGTAAAAAGGGAGTGTCAGCTCATAGCTATTCCCATTGTTCTACCACCTCTCTGAACACATGGGGTGGTGCCCAGCTGGGGCAGACCTGGCCTGCTTTGACTGGGCCCAATCCAGTCATAGTTAGCAAGTTTGCCCCAAGCTGGCTAGGAGAAGAGCACTAGGTCTTTGCTACCTGCCCTGCTCCCAGGCAAGGGGAGCAAGTGTGTTAGAGCACTGTGATGGGGACAATGAAGGCAGAGGACAGAGACAACACATTGGGGAAGCTGGACATGGTGGCATAGGCCTGTAATCCCAGCAATCAGGGAAGCGAGGCAGGAGGATTGCAAGCTCAAGCCCAGCCTGGGCAACTTAGTGACTTATCAAGACCCTGTCTCAAAACAAAAAATAAAAAGGGCTGGGAACACAGCTAGGTGCAAAGGCCCTGGGTTTGAGCCCCAGCACTGAAAAAATACCATGTAGGGAGTGCTGAGGGGCATCTGGCCTCAGGGCTGGGGCTGCAGCTGGGGTGCAGGGTCCAGCACAGTACAGGGATGGCCCTCCCCAGGTGACCACACTTCTTTTCAGGTCAGGACGTACCAGGTCAGAGGCTGCAGACCCAGGCATCACCTGGCCCTCGCCTCGTGCCCCTTCTGTTCCTCAGCTCGGCAGTGGGCAGCTTAGGAAGCTGGCAGGAGCTAAACCTCTGCAAATGATGGCATCACAAATGATGAAATGGAGAGCAAAGAAACAGAGACATTTAATGTGAGGAAAACCAGCACAGTGCCTGTCCCCTTCCTGAATGCCTATCCTGTCCAAGGTGCCTCACTGTGGGTTCCTGGGGCCCTGTGGCACCAGTGGCACAAGTGTCCCACACGTTACATTCAGCCACTGCTTGGACCGTGAGGAGCCGGCCGGCCGCAGACCTCGGGCTCCACGGCCTCTGCTCGCCATCTCTGCACACGGCCGGGTGGCCGCTCACCCTGCTCCTGCCTGGAGTCGGCCCTTGTGGTATCCACCTGGCTCTCTGGAGGGGGCTTCCATCAAGGCGGCACAGAGCTCGGCTATGTGGCTCTGCGGTCACTGCTTGGACCCAGGGCTCACAGCTGGTCCTCGTCTACCCAGATGGTCTTGCGCTGCTCCTCACCGATCCTGTCTTTGAGGACACGAAGCAGTTCCTCCACACTGCTCCAGGCCTCGGCCTCCACCGTGGCGTACAGGCAGGGCAGTGCTTCCAGTTCCTTCTCACGCAGGCGGCAGGTCCGCAGGAGCTCCTCCTCTGTCTCGGGCCGGGGCAGCAGCTTCCTGGTACAGATACAGGTGGGCTATGGGCGGGCATTGGGGATGGACCCCACAATGGGGGACAGAAGCAGATGGTATGCCCACCCCGAAGAGCCTCAGGAAGTGGTCCCACTCGTGGCTACGATGGTGCGGAGTCTTTCCTGGGCCACCAGGTTCACTGAGTGCTACTATGTGCCACTGGCTCTGTCCCCCCTGTTCCCACTGCCTCCTAACACCCTAAAGTGTGCCCTTGTGGGGACAATACTGAGACTCGAACCCAGAGACTGCATGGAGCTGCATCCCCAGCCTGTCATTTTTTTATTTCGAGATGGGGTCTTTCTAATTTGCTAATTTTCCCAGGCTGGGCTTGAACTTGCAGGCTTTCTGCCTCAGCCTCACAGATGGCTGGCATTATAGGTGTGAGCCACCATTCCCAGCTACATGGTGCCTTTGCGTTGCTCACTGTGGAGATTCCAAGAGGCAGGGATGTTTAAAATTTATTTTCAGTTGTGATAAAATACATGTCATACAAAAGTTGCCATTTAAACTGTCTTCTGAGTGTAACTAAGGAGTGTTAAGCACATCCACTGCTGTACAACCTATGTCCGGGACTTTCTTGCATAAGATCGGTGCCCACTGAACACTGACTCCTTTGCCTCCTGCCCAGCTGCCCCCACATCCTGCCTCTGTCCCGGGACCTCGCAGACCAAGGCTGCATGGTGTCCACCTGCGTCGAGGGCCATCCATGCTGTAGCGTGTGCCACAGTGTTCCCCTTCGTAGGCCTGACTGATGGCCCATAGCGAACAGGGGCCACCCCCGTGGGACACCTGGGTGGCTCCCACTTTTTGCTAGTGTGAACGGTGCTACTGTGAACACGGCCGTGCAAATACCCCTCAGACTGGCTTTCAGTCCTTTTGTGTACAGACAAAGGGGAGCTGCTAATCATGTAGTAATTAGATTTTTAATTTTCTCAGGGTTCTCAGCCTGTCTTCTAAGTGGCTGCACCTGTTTTTGGGTTTGTTTGCTTTTGAGACAGGGTCGCAGCATGCAGTCCAGACTGGCACTGAACTCACTATGGAGCCCAGGCTGGCCTGGAACTTGATATCCTCCAGCCTCAGCCTCCTGAGTGGTGGGATTACAGGTGTGCGCCAGGCCAGCTGTGCACCATTTTACATTCTACCACTCTACCTGCAGTGTGATGGGTCCTTGCCAGCGCTTACTGGGAGTCTTGCCACGTGGGCTCACTGATGGATTCCCCAGTCTGGCACTACCAGGGGCTGCATGGATGTTGTACAGGAGAAAGTGGCCTTGACTGTGGAGTCCCAGTGCTCAGTCTGCACCGTGGGTCACGCCACTTCTCTGTGGTGCACGGGGAGGAGGAGACCCAATATGATGATGCTTGGGGACTCATCTGTCCTGGTGGCTCAGACCCCAAGCCTCTGTGCTGCCCCTATGCCCAGCCCCACAGCTGACCGTGTATCGACCCCTCTGGCTCAACCTTGGACAGGACCCAGAGTCAGAGTTTGTCCTTGTCCCTGCCAGGGTGACCCCATGGGGTGTGCGCTCCCCAGGGAGGAGCAATGGGCTGCTCCTGCCTCCTTTCACCACTGCCCAACCCTGGCCTCCTCAGGCTGCTCTCACACCAGGGAAGGTTCTTCCCAGCTCATCCTCCTGCTGTTGCCTGGGCCCCTCCTGGTGCCTGGCCCCATGCAATGTCTTCCTCACATGTGAGCCACATCAGGAGCCGGGCTCATCTGCCCTAGACTGGGTTTCCTCCTGGTGAGGACGCCTGAGGGATGATGGGGCTTGGCAGGCTTGGGGACAGGGTCGGGCTGGGGAGACTGGGCCCTGTTCTCACCTGAAGCGCTTGATATTCTTCTCACACACGCGCACGAAGAGTACGATGGGGTAGATCCCGCACTTGATCAGGTCTCGCACACAGCCCATCCCGGCCTCCAACAGGCAGTGCTTGTTCTGCGAAGTACACAGCGGCAAAGTCAGCAGTGACCCCCCACCCGCTCTTCCCCGCCTGTGTGGGAGCAGGGCCAGGCCTGTATGCAGGGATGGACTCCAAGGACAAGAGCTCCAAGCACCACCCACACAGCCAAGACAGGACTGGAGCCTGCAGATCCGATGCTTCCCATGGCCTGCAGCATAGAGCTCCCCACAGAAGCTGGGCCAGCGATGGACTGCTGGGGATGCCTGCCCACCCGCTGGCCTCGAGGGCATGCTGGGGCCTGGCAAGAGCACTGAGAGCACAGCCAGGGTGAGGTGGTGGCTCAGAGGTCCTGGAGACACTTCAGGGGTCTCAACCAGGAGCTCCTCATTTCTGAGGAAGGAAAACCCACAGAAGGAATCACTTTAAAAAAAACCAAGGTGGGCATGGTGGTTCTCGCCTATAATCCCAGCACTCCAGAAGGCTGAGGCAGGCTGGAGGATCACATGATCAAGCCCAGCCTGGGCAACTTAGTGGGGTACTGTCTTAAAATGATAAAAAAATGGGGTGTGATGTAGCTCAGTGTGAAGACCCTTGGTTTGATCCCCAGTACAGAAAAAAAAAAAAAGAAGAGGAAGAAGAAACACCAAACTTGGCATCTTGAACGTGGAGAGTGTCCCAGCGTGCAGCTCCATGACTCCCATGAGCACAAGAGGAACACCTGGATGACTGGAGACCCCTCAGGCTTCTTCCACTCTCTGCCCCTAACTTCCCGGACTTGTAGCAGCACAGACCCCTCGGCTTTTCAGCTGAAACCAACTCGGCTCCAACCTGCCGGCTCATTTTCTCTCCATTTGGTTGTCAGAATTTCTTAAACTACTCTGGCCTGAACATAAAAAAAAATCAGCCAACTATCCAGGCCTGTGGAAAGCCGGGCCTCTGCTCTCCTCTGTGTCAGAGTCAGCATCACTGAAGGAGGGTGTGGGGTCCCTGCAGCTGGAGGGGAAGTATGGGGTCCTGGCAGGGCACCTGCTTCTGTCTCTCTTTTGCCTCAGGGCTTTGTCTCACCCTCCACAGGTGCAGGCTGGGAGCTTTACTTGTAGCATGAGGAGGAGGAAGAAGCACCATCACACATCAAACTGCCGGCTCTGAATCTGAATCACTCCCAGGCCCTCCTTGCTTGGCCACCAGTGACCTCCCGTGATCTATTTTCCTCTCCTGTGGCAGATGCCAGCCCATCTCTCACCCTGACATGCTTGCTCTTTCTTGACCCTTGCTATCACAACCAGACACATACACACCCCTAAACAAGAGATCTGGCACCCAGCACTAGGGTGCCACCAACAATAGATGGCAGCTCCCAAATAAAAGGCCCAAGGACAGGGGTGACAGAGGTGACAGAGCTTTGCTAAAGGGACCTGGGGGGCAACTCTTTATCCACTTTTGCCCCAGCCCAGGGGTCTCAGGAAGGTTGCTGGCTGCGTTGCAGGCCCACCTATCCCCTTACCTTGGCTGCCACAGCTTCGATGTTGGCAGGAACAACGCACTCAAAAGTGTTGGGGTTCTTCTCCCGGGAGTAGATGATGGTCTCTGTCTTCTGCTTTTTGAGGAACTCTTCTCTTGTGACAATATCTGCAGAGAGAGAAAGAGAGAGAGGCCAGTCTTGAGGGTGGCATGGGTAGTCTCAGGTGGGTGGTCCCCTCCAAGCCCTGCCTGTCCCCCTCCTGGTGCCCCAGAACTGGATGTCTGGTCTAGTACAGTTAGTTATATCTCATCCCTTCTGCTAAACTGTGAAGCTCCTTGAGGGCAAGGCCAAGGTCACGGTTCATGTTCCCTGTAGCAGACCAGAGGGGTTAGTCAGTATTCAGGGTCTGGCTGATCAGAAGTGTCAACATAGTGATAGCTCAGACACTCTGGTGCATACTCTCCACTAGCTGCCAGCCACGAAGAGGCTCAGCTATTGATCCATCTACTAATGCATCCATCCACCCATCCACCTACCCACTTTTCATCCTTCCCCCTACCCATCCATTAATCTATGCACCCATTCGTCCACCCACCCAGCCACCCACCTTCCCACCTAACACTGCTAATGGACATGTATAAGGAATAAAACTATGATAAAAACACAGCTTATGGATTCAAGCAAGCAATGATCTAGCTAAGGAGAAAAGTGTGGGCTACAGACAACGAGGAAACAGTTTAGTGAGCACGGAGGTGGCTACTTTATGGGAGAGGGTGCAGGCAGGATCCCTGGGAGGATGTGCCTATCAGAGGCCTTGCTCCCTTGCTGGGTGGCTCTGAATACATTTTACCCTCTGTAGGCCTCAGTAGAGGAGGGTGGAGCATATGCAAGCTTGGACACATATGGAGGGAGGCTATCTGGCTGCAGTTGTGATCATTTAGGGTGTGGAGCTTCAGTCTAGCTGGACGGTGGCCCACTTGGATGAAGTCAGGACAGTAAAGTCTGTGCTATATTCATTTCTCATGATTTAAAAAGATCCTGTAGGTGTAATGTTTAATGGGTTCCAGATGGGCCTGGACATCTGTACTTGAAAACTTTTTATTTATTTACTTTTTGTGCTCCTGGGAATTGAAACCAAGGCTTCACAATGAGTGATATCCCTGGCCTTTTTAAAAGGAATAAACTAGTTTTTTTTGTAAAGTCTGTGCTATATTCATTTCTCATGATTTAAAAAGATCCTGTAGGTGTAATGTTTAATGGGTTCCAGATGGGCCTGGACATCTGTACTTGAAAACTTTTTATTTATTTACTTTTTGTGCTCCTGGGAATTGAAACCAAGGCTTCACAATGAGTGATATCCCTGGCCTTTTTAAAAGGAATAAACTAGTTTTTTTTTTTTTTGTTGTTATTGTTTTTTTTGAGTCAGGATCTCACTATGTAGCTCAGGCTGGCCTTGAACTCAGAGCAATCATCCTGCCTCAGCCTCCCAAGTGCTGGGATTACAGGCATGCAGCCCCATGACTAGCTTTTTTTTTTTTTGAGACAGAGTCTTGCTGAGTTACTAAGTTGTCCAGACTGGGCTTGAATTTTTGATCCTTGTGCCTCACTCCTTGGAGTGAAGGGACTATAGGTGTGTGCTACCATGCCTGGTTGCACCTGTACATTTAAATATAGGTGGGGACTCTGACAGCAGCTGGGATAGAAGTAGTGTTGGCGGTGGGCATCACCACCCTTACCATAGCGGGGACACTGAGGTTCAGAGTGATGCGTAGGCTGGCTGTGCACACTGGGCCCTGACGGGGACTGAGTTCCTGGACAGTGCTGTCACCTCTGCCCTGTCACCCTCAGTGTCAGATGGCGAGTCTCTGTTCCCTGGGCCACTGCACATGCACAGGGGCCAGGGTGGTGACAGAGGGAGGACTCCCTGTGTGTGCTCTGGAGGGGCCAGCGAAAGAATGGGGTGGGAGGAGTTGCACTGTGGACTGTGGATGACTCCCCCCACCTGCCCTGAGCAGCCTGCGCTCACCTGACTTGCAGAGTGTGAACTCCATGGCGCCACCCGAGTTCAGCAGCTTCTGTACCAGCGTCTTGGCCAGCATAGTGGGCGTGAAGAGCACCGGCCGACGGCGCTCACAGTGGAAGGCGCGCACCAGGCTGTAGGGGATGAGGCTGAGGTTCTTGCTGAGCTCGCTCTCTGGGTCCAGCTCTGGGGGAAAGGGAGCTGCGGTCAGGCATGGGCCTTTGGAGCCTAGATGCCCTCAGGGCTGCGTTTATTTTTTTGGTACTGAGGACTGAACCTAGGGCTACTGTGCTGTGTCCCCACTCCTTTTTATTTATTTTGAGACAGGGTCTCACTAAGTTGCCCGAGCCAGGCTTGACCATGTGATCCTCCTGTCTCAGCTTCTCAGAGTGCTGGGATGACAGATGTAAGACTGCATGCTCAGCTCTGGGGCTGGTTTTTGGAGACCACTGCAGGACTGGCAGCCTGGGGTTCTGTCCCTAGCATCCAGGAATATTCTGGAGTCCTACATGCCTGTGTGGGAGGAAGACAAGGGATGGAGGACTTAAATCAGCCCTGGTGGGTCTCTGAAGAAGAGGTTGCTAGGGCAGGGTGGTCCAGGCAGAGGGAAGGTGACCACAGGAGAGCAAGGCACAGTGTGATACGACCAGGTGGCAGGACAGCAGGGCTGCCTGGCAAAAACTAGCGGTGTTCAGGGTTTCCAGGCCTTTGTTGGCCCATGTATGGGGGGTAGCAGGGAGGAGCCACTGGGTGGGATCTGTTAAAGCCAGCCCAGCAGCCTGGAGGTCACTGCCCAGAGGTCAGCAGCCTGTCCCTTTTTCACCCGCTGGCCTGGCACTCAACCAGTGCTGGGGCTTTAGTCTCCTTGCCTCTGAGTGGGCCTGGCCGGGAATGCCGGCAGGCCTGGCTTGTCCCCAGCTGGGCACAGGTTGGAGAAGTGGCAAAAAGTGCTCGTGGGGAGAAAGACCAATACACAAACACTGCTCAGTGGGCAGCTCCGAGTAATGGGACTTCTGGGCTCCAGGGGACCGTGACTCGTTTCAGTCATGAAGGGGCAGAATTCGCACCCGTGGGGATGGACACAGCTCTAAGTGAGTGTGAGGGTCATGTGCTTGTGTGGGGAGGAGTGGGGTGGGGTGGAGGGGTCACCACACACCTTCCTGCTTCTCAGCCGAGAGCCTGGTGGCATCCAGAGAGGCACGGGCCAGGCTGCCCAGGGGGCTCCCTGAGATGACACGGACCCGCTCGCTGCTGTTCATGCGCTTGTACTTGTTCTCTGACCTGCTGACGAACTGTAGGGACAGAAGGGACAGTGGGGTGGGAGGCTGCTTCAGTGGACAAAACTGGACCTTGTTCTAATCCCACCTCTGCCCTGGGGCTGGGCGAGTCACCTCCCTGTATGAATAGGAAACACCAAGATGTGGTGGTATAGGTCTGTTAGCCCAGAACTCTGGGAGGCTGAAGCAGGAGAATCATAAGTTTGAGCCTAGCCTGGGCAACTTAGTGATTTAGCAAGACCTTGTCTCAAAATGAAAAATAAAAAAGGGCTAAGGATGTAGTTCAGTGCAGAGGCCCGGGGTTCAACCTCCAGTGACACTCAGAAGTGGCCGGAGTCCTTCAGATCCTGGACAGTGGCCATCAGTAGTGAGAAGGTAGAGAGAGACCACACTGTCCCTCACCCAGCTCCGTGTCACCCACCCAACTTCCTGTGGGCCCGAGTGAGCTGGTGGCGACTATACTGATGCACTCCTGCTGGTGAGACACTCTGGCTGGACCCTCCCCACCGGGCACATGGGGAACCCTCATCTCCCTAACACCATGCTCCTCCACCCTCCAGCCATCTGGGGAGCAGCCTGCAGGCCTGCTTACTGAGGGGCCCAGCTTCCGGCCCCACCCCTCCCCTCCACAGGGAGGCAGATCCTGGGGGCTGGCTGTGTGCCTCAGGATGAGGCCCTCAAGGCTTCAGCTCCTGTATGACCTGTGTGCACAATGGCAAGCCATCCCAGATGGCTGCCTCTTAGAAGACCGCCCCCTCCCCAGGCTCACACCCACCTGGATATCTCTGCCACATGCCTGTATCCACCCCGGTCCTGGGGTCACACTGCTGACCCTTTCCAGTCACCTCTGTCCCAGCATCAAGCTGAAGCCTTGGGATGCCACACTCTCTCCACTGGGGTCTGCTTAGTGCAGCAACCACTTAGGAACACGCTCATGGGCTCTGTTTTCCCATCACCCTCTGTGTTTGTCCTCTGGGATATAAGAATGCTTCTGCTTTCATATGAAATAACTTCTGAAGATATCACACAATGTGCTAGTTAACGTTCCTCATATAAATCCAAACAAAAAGTTCTTTTTTAAAGGGTAAGTATGAGGGAAAAATCTTTTCTGGTCCTGAAGAGCTAAAATGTTTCCCTTGACAGATGAAGATTTAAGAACCTGGTTGATTTCCCTTTTCTCCTTGGCTGCCAGGATACTGAGATAAACTTAAAGCTCTGAGGAAATAAACCTGCCTAGATATTTGGAATGCTTGTTTTCCTCTCCTGAAGTGCCACTTACGATTTTTCTGTTAATATTTTAACAAGCAAGTTGTTTGAGCTCATTTTGGGCACATGTTTCTCAAATCTTTTCTGAAAGTGGGATTTGCTTCCAATAGGAGCACAGGCCATTTCTTGAGCTGCCACTGGGAAATGGGCTGAAGAGATGGGAGGCACGTGGGAGAGCTGCAAGTGGGGTGTACACACAAAGCATTGCTGTTTTGGTGCAGACTTCCCTTACCTGGAGGAGCTGGCCAAAGAGGAAACTTGCTCTGGAGAGGCGTGGGCTGACCCGGGGGTCACTCGTCGAAAGCGGCTCTTCGGGTTGCAGGGTGTTCTGGAACAAGTTTATCAGTCAGGTGGGAGGAGCAGGGCCCGGCTGGATTCCTGGGCACAAGAATACTGCAGAGAAGCAGAGGACGACCCCAGGTTCCCTCGGCTGAGCGCCAGGCAACCTGCTCCAGGAGGAATGGGGACCTCGAGGAGCTGTGGTCCGGAGGTGGCTTCCCTGTGGCATCGTCGACTCACCCGGAAGCCCCGCAGGGTGTGGTGCGCTGTGTCTGCCTCTTCCCGGCTGCCCCGGTGCATCAGGCGCTGCAGCTTGACCAGCAGCAGCTGCTGGGCCCTGGGGAGCAACAAAGAGGTGTACGGGCTGGGACAGAGCCAGGGCCAGGGAACGCTCAGCATGAGGGACTGGGACAGCATGGGATCGTGCCTCTGGGGGAATCTGGCTCGGGATGGGGTTGTGGCAAAGGTTCCTGTCCCCAGTCAGGGCTCCTGTGCTGGAATCTGGCCTGCTGGTGCCACCTCACAGGGCTTGTGGCCATCATCATTTGGAAGCACAACTATGGTCTTAGAGGTTTCCTCCCTCTCCCTCCACCCGGGAGGCAGGAAGGCTTCCTGGAAGAGGAGGAACCAGGACCTCACAGCCCAGCAGGCAGAGATGCGTGTTCCAGGCCCACGCTCCTCCCCAATCCCCCTGCTGGTGTTCACAGCACCACTGGCCCGACTCCATGGTGCCAGACACTGGGCCTGTCAGGCCCTAGCCTCACCGGCTGTAGCTGGGTATAGTGCCCATGTCCAGGTCGTGGTCCGTGAAGGGGTCGACCCTTGCGCACAGCCACTCGTGCCTGTCCTGGTACATGGTGTCACGAACGTGCACGATGTCATCACACTTCAGGGACATGGAGCAGGCGTCCAGCTGGCTGGAGATGTTCAGGTTTAGGCGGATGTAGAAGGAGTCCCCTGATGTGATCAGGCCCTCTGCCATGTCCCTCAGCAGCTTCTGGTACCCTGGGTAGGTGACAGTCCAAATAGTGCATGCTGACTGGCCACAAATCTCAGCTGAGGGGCCTTCGAGGTCCCTTCCCCACAAAGCTGGGGGTTGGGGCAGGCATTCCTGCCTGATGATGTCATTCATGAGTTTCCCTTTTTGTCTTGGCTTCCAGGAAGCTCAGAGCTAAACATGTCAAGTTGCAATGATCACCATCATTAGTGTTTCTGCCATAACTTCCACACCTTCTGCACCACTGGGGACGGGCTTTTACTTTTCATTCTTCATTTTTCCATTGACACATAACTTACATAACAGTAAACTGTACAAATTCTTAAATTTTCCCAAATGTACGTGTGCAGGTAGTCTCCTCCCAGAACCTGCTCTGTCAACACTTTTCAGGAGTGACTTTTCATCCTGACTACTATGCTCCAAGCTAAACCACAGCTCAATGCACAAAAACTGAATCAATTAGCACAGACTCTCTTCCTTCTGGTGGGTATTATTCCATGTTACCCCTGTGAGATACATCTAAGAGGCTGCCATATTCCAGTACTGTGTTCTTTTTCATTGCTGTATAGCTCTCCACTTGTGTGCAGTTTGGGCCTATTATGAATAACTCTGCTGAGTTTTTCTTCTACTTTACTTCTGGTGGACATACATATGTATGCATTTCTCTTGAATACATTCAGAGAAGTAGAATTACTAGGTCATGGATTATCTATGTATTTAGATTTGGTAGATACTGCCAAGTGGCTTTCTAAATTGGTAAGACCTAACATGTGTGGTACTATCCTTACTTAAATGGCACTTTCTTTTAGAGTAGATTTTTGCAAATATGTTGGAAGTAAGGCCCAGACTATGACTATAATAAGTACAGTAAGCTCTGAGGGAACGCTCATGACTCAAATTCCTAAATCAGCCCCACCTGCAGAAGACTGCATAAGACAGGGGAAGCTAATGCAGTTCTGCCCGGTCCCAAGTAGCTCCTCAAATGTGCACAACGCAGAAATGTGCAGGGACGTTTCCTCCTTGGAGTCAGTGTTCCTTGGGGCTGTGTGGGGAAACAGCCCCTGGGTTCTTCTGGGGCAGCCTGGCTGTGCCCCATTGCCAGACCCGCACTGGCCGTTCCCTGAGTTCCCTGCACCTAGGACAAGCTAACTTAGCCCGCAGCCCAGACCGCAGAGCTCGCTGTCAACACTTCCAGGAGGCGCTGCTCAGACCACCTCTGTGGCCTTGCTGGCCAACAGTCAGAGCCCCATCCAGTGGGTTTTATGTGGGCTTCACACACCAGGCTGTAGGAGTGGAAGGCACCTGCCCCACGTGCAGAAGCGACTTGCCCGTGTTTGGGGAAGGCACCGTTATCCTCCGCACTGCAGGGCACTGCTGGGAAGGGTGTGAGCGCTGGAGAAGCTATTTATGCCCTGCTGAAACATTTATGAGCCCCAGGTTAAAAATAAGACCCAGCTGCAGAGATAATCATGCAGGAAAACCCAGAGGTGAGAATGAGGACTCAGACTTCAGGAAAGGAAAACAAAACTCTGTGCACTGGCCGGGAGCTGTGGCCGGGGAAAGAGGAGCGAAGGCTGAAACCTTTGAGTGCCTGAGCAGAAGGGAGGGTGAGGCCCAGCTGCTGCCTGGGGCAGGCCAGGAAGCCTGAGAGGACGCTCACTTCACTCCAGCAGGGAGAACGGTGAGCGTCCCGAGGCCTGGGCATCTGAGTGTGGACACGGCTGGGTTGAGACAGACAAGCCGATCCTGGTCTTCTGCCTCCTCCCCTAGAATTGCTCCTTTGGTGCCCTGATGGTGCAGGGACAGCATATTGTCTGCTGAACAGAGGAGGAAGTGGGGGTGCTGGGTGGTGAGGTCCCCACCCAGGTCTGGGCCATCTTCAGTGTGAAGTGTTCCTCCCAGGCTCACCTTCGTGGTTAACCTTGTAGTGCAAGGTGACGGGGCCACTGCACCTCTGAATGGTCCAGCGGGCCTCTTCCTTCGTACATGTGTCCAAGGGGACACTCTGCCGCTCGCCTCTGATGCAGCCTTCCAGCTAGATAGCAAAAGACATGTGTGGGTTCTCCTCATCGGCTGGGCTGCTCCACCCTGGAAACAGGAGCACCCTCTTCCCCCACTGAAGGGAGAGAAGGGCAGAGAAGGGCCTGGAGATACTGACGCCCAGCCACTCTCCCTCCAGTTATTCCTCCCTGTATACTTGGAGGCTCAGGGTCCACTCCAACAGTAGGGCACACGCAGCACATGGCACCCCGGCTCCCAGCCCTCACCAGCAGCAGCTGGTGGCCCTCATGGAGTCCTGCCTTCTCAGCCAGTGAGCCCTGCTTGACCACATGGATGAAGCTCCCGCGTGCGTTGCCCCCCAGCAGGGTGAGCTGAGTGAACAGGCCGTCACCGTTGAGTGTTGCGTGCTGCACCGATGGCCCCGGGCCCCGCACCTGCCCCACAGAGGTGACCGAGGGCCGGAAGGGCCTGAGTGGGAAACAAAGTGGTGGTCAGGCATCAGAGGGAGGGGGTTAGGGTTAGGGTACCTGGGCACGCTGCAGAGTTGGGAGGGACTGCAGTGATGCAGCTGCCCAAATTCCCCATATACTGGGGACTCCTGGCTCCAAATGAGTCACTATTCAGCCACCTGACTTGCCACACTGGGGGACATCCACCCCCATGCTGCAGGAAACAGACCTGGAGCTGAGCTGCCCTCCCGGCCCACAGTGGCCACAGAAGATGTCACCAGCACCTGAGCTGGACACTGCCCACCCCATCCTTGCCACATCCGGGATACTGTGCAACCACTGCCCACTGGGCCTATCTGGCAGGAGTCCTGCTTCTTGGCCTCTGCCACACTAGTGGCCCTGGGCAATCCCTGCCTCTGCAGCCTCGGTGTCTTCCCCAGGGCAATCAGAGGGTCTGATGGCAGAGCGGGGGGACTCTAGGATTCCAGGACTGACTCAGAGGAATGGGGGTGATGCAGATGGCCCCCTCTGTGGGAAGCGAGGAGGCGATAGGCTGACTCTCCTGTACCTTTCCAGAGAGAACTTCCGGAACATGAGGTTGACCTGCTCCAGGTCATAGGCATCCAGGCTCTCTGACTGGTGGGAGGAGGAGGAGGAGTGGATGGAGGGAGGGCCGAAGGAGTAGCGATCGTGACTGTCATCTGCAGGGGAATGGGACCCATCAGGACCAGGAGAGGCAGGGAGCTGCCTGGGACACCCCTGGATGGCCAGGAAGGCCCACGGGCAGAAGGGCTCTGAGCCCTGCAGTGCTGCCCCCATGGCCCCAGGGGCAGCCGGTGAAGGCCCTGCACTCCACCAATAAGGACATCTGCCTGCCTGCAGGAGTCCTCTCTGATTAGGACCCCGGACAGACTCTGGGTTTTAAGAATCCCTTCTTGGTTTTACCTAGTGAGCTCCCATTAGCAGTTGCTAGCTCTGCCTTTGAACTGGGACCCCCGATTTTCATTTTGGGACCCCCTTAGGGCTTCACAGCCACCCACTGCTGCAAGAGACCATGGGCGTGGCTTTCCTGTCCCCATGTCACCAGACCTAAGGAGGGAAGATGTCCCTTCTACACAGAGCTGGCCATTGGTGGAGGGACATGTGAATTTTCCCCAGGGCTGATAACAAAGGCTCTTTGCAAAGGGAATTTTTCCAGACATTGTAAAATTCTTTGGATTGTTGCCCAGGATCCTCTCTGCGTAGTTCCCCCTTACCAAAACTCTTTCAATTTTTCTCATTACCCAGACTCGATTAGGTGCTAACCTCTCTTTAATACTTGATAGCTTCTGATGGTCCCCCATTAAGGAGGACTACTAATCTTTCCTCTGATCTGCTGGCAGCCTGGAGGGCAAGGGTGAGGCTGGGTAGAGGCCTGAAATAAAGAGGCTGGCGGGGTACACCCCAGAACTCTGAGCCAGGCTTTGTGCCAGCTGTAGGGTCCTGGGGATGCTGCCACCCTCCTTAGAGGCAGAACCATCTCCATGTTTCTTGCTGCCCCTTATCCTTCGGGCTTATCCCAGTGGTCCCTGGGTTTGGGAATCTGCATCTGGCTGCCCCACTGGTTCACAGCTATGACACCACAGTTCTCACGCAGGCAAGGAACTGGGGACAGGAGTCTGTGTCCCAGGTACCCAGCATAGGCCTGTAGGGTGTAATGGGCTGAAGCAGACTTCCTGGTCGGGAGAGGAGGGTGGCCAGGGCCACGCACAGACCTTTGGCCCTGGAGAACACAGGCACTCATTTCTGGCTTTTTCATGGCCCATCTGGTGCCAAGGGAATATCGACATCCCCAGTGTCTCCCCAATGCCAGTGGTGCCACAGGGCCACTACGGCACTGTTCCACAGCCTGGCTCCCCAATGTCTGTTCCTCCACCTCCAATTCCAGGAATGGGAAACACTGAGGCCTGCTGCCACCTCGGCTCTGGCCCCGTGTTTCCTACTTGTCGCGTGCAGGCTGGCTGGCAGCTCAGCGTGCTCACTGCTCTGGGAGCCTCCATATCCAGCCGCCCTCTCTACCTGCCGTTTCTGCCCCTGAGACCTCAGTTTTTCATGTCCAGAGAGTTAGCGCATTTCTGGAAGCCGCCATAGAGATCAGATGACACTGGGCCAGGCTTGCAGGCTGAGCGCCTCCCAGTGCTGAGCTCTAACACATAACTGCTCCTTTCAAAGCTCAGATCCTCTTCTGGTCTTGCTCAGTGGCTGCGCAGGCCTTGGGGTGCTGGGGGACTCACCTGACCTCTCACTCCAGCCCTGCCTGGAATGTACCCCACATGTGCCCCACAGGCCCACTGCACTGTGCACTTTCATGCTGTTTCTTCGGTGGCTCTGCTGTCACCAAGGCACCCATCACCCTTCTAGATCTGACAGGAACCTACCGTCCAGGTCTAAGGTGTCGAACCCGCAACTGTCATTGTCTTCTTCAACTGCACTGCAGGACACAAATTGGAAGAGGCCACTTGTTAGTGTGCGTGTGCAGGGGGAAGGGATGGGGAATGTTCCAGCTTTCCAAGAAGTCTCAATCTGGAGTGGCAGTGTGGGGAAGAGTGGGTGGGGAAGAGTGGGGGACAGGCAGGCACAGCTGGAGGAGGCAGGGTCAGCAGTGGGGGGTGAGGACGCAGCCCGCCCAGGCACCTTGTCTAGCAGGTGAGCTGAGGCCCTAGGGGCTCCTTGTTTCCTCCTCACTCTCACACCCCGAGTTCTGGATCCCCATTTGGGCTCAGATGAGCCTAAGTGGGAGAGACCTCCCACTGTCCACAGGAGGCTCTTGAATAGACCTCAAGGTGCTTCAAGAAGCCTCCACTCCTCTCCATGCCACCAGCTGGAGGTGGGCCCGGAAGACTCTGGCGTGGCTCAATGGGTCTCCAGAACAGGGCCGCCAAGCCAGTCCTTGTACCAGCCCTTACTTTTGGCCCTTCTGGAAACAATCAATCAGCACTGTCTGACTTAGAAAACAGTGGCCTGACTGGATGGACTACTGCTAGATGCAGCCCTGCCCAGTGGGTGGTTTTAGGGGGCAAAGAGGCGGGGGAGTCTGTGGATCTCTCATCTGGTAGAAAAAGCCAAGCTCTGGTGTCACAGGACACAAGAATTAACTTCTGGGCAGCACAGGGCCCAGGAACACAGGTTCAATCACTTGATAGCTGGTGGGTCACCCTGGAAAGGCTGCTTGCCTGCTCTAAGCCTGTTGCCTCAACTGAACAATGGGTTCCTGTACCTCCCCTGCCTTCAAGATCACCACAAGGACGGCTGGGCTGTGACTGTGCTGTGACAGGAGGCAGGATAAGTGGGGTGGCCTCTTACCTGCGGGGTGGTGCGTCTTCTTTGCAGCGCCTGACGATGGAGTCGTTGCCTGGGGGCTCGGCGGTGATTGACATGATGCTGTTCCGGCTCCGGTGGGGCTGCTGCACACAGGTACATGTGGATGTGATTCAGGACCCGGGTATGCATACACCAAGGCCTCCAAGGGCATAAAAATTATATACGTGGAACTAAATTTAACTCAGATTCATTCTTGCCCCCAACTTGGCCAGCGTGGGCACTGCAAGCCAGTCCTCGGCAATGGCGACCTTCAGAGGAGACTTGTGCTCAGCCTGGGGTGACCGCTGAGCATGGAGCACATCCGCTCACACATCTGCTCACAGGGAGGACATTGGGGGGCAGCTAGTGACCTGCGCTGGCTGAGCCCCATGTTCCTGACTGCACCTGCTCTGGATGTGATCAATTATGGGGGTGGGTGGCTGCTGGAGGAGGGTGACCTGGGGACCCTGGCCTGCGGTGCCTTGGAATTCAGTTCCCAGAACTGTCCCCAGCAGGACTCATTCATTATAGAACCTCTGCCTCCCCCAGGGCCTGATTTGGGAAGCTGAGCTCACAAGCTTCCTGGAGCTTCCCTCGGGGTTAGAATTTCTAATCCTGCACCTTCCACTGTTGACTGGGGGTGCTGACACCAGGTCTGGGGGGCTTGGATGCTGACTGGCTCTGCCCAGGTGGCTGGAGCCAAGGACTGCGGGGGGGGCACTGGGTCAGGGGAGGGGCCCGAGACTTGGCTCTGCTGCCACGGCACCTGCAGCTGCTGGTAGCCCCCTGCCCAGCCCATACCCCTCCCTGGCTGTCAGAGCTGCCAGGGCTGAGAAGTTGCAGCAGAATTCTTGGCTGCCTGTGCAATTCGCTACAGGCCTTCAGAGGCCCATCTCTTCCTCCCACCAAGTGTTAAATTGGGAAAGGAGGCGGCAAGAAGGTGTAAATACATCGAGAGGCCTCTGAGATATCTTTAAATAAACACCAGGAAGGCCTGGGCTTCGGCCCTAGGGTGTAGGGGGGTGGACATAGCTTGTGGGCTTGGGCTTGTTGCAGGGAAGGAGGTGGTCAGGCTTGGAGGTCACTGTTGGGGCCTTGGAGCCCAGGCTCGGATGGTGTGGGGGAGCAGGTAGCACAAAGTCTGCAACTTACCATCTTGGAGAAAGAGCTGCTGATGGGCAGAGAGCGGGCAGAGCTGGGGCTGGCATCTGTGCTGTCATCTCCGAAGCCCTTGACTGTCCTCGTGGGGGCAGAGAAAGGGGAAGGAGCAGGGAGGGGTGGATGTAGAAATGAGAGAGGAGAGAAAAAGGGAGGAAAATGAAAATCAGAGCCACTGGTCAGCACCCAAACCTCCTGCTGACACAGGTGGGGACAGGCCCTTCCCCTTGGGGGCAGCCTGCCCTGCTCTGACGTCTGAGGAGGAGGAAGAGAACCTTAAACCATCTCTGGTTATTTCCCGGCCTGCTGTGGCTGCAAAGGGGCACTGGGCTTATTCTACAACATAGTCCTGCCCCAGCCAGGGCTGGGCCCTGAACAGCCCCAGTCAAGGCTGTTTGTCGCTTATCTCTGAGGATTTTGCGGTCGCCCCCACGCAGGGTCCCTGGTTTGGCAGAATGATGCCCATGGGGAGCATGAAGTCCAGCAGAGAGGGGCCAATCTGTCACCTCCCGGGCACAGCCTCCTCCACATCTACCAAACCTGCGCTCCACCAGGCACTGCCTAGGCTGCGTGCCCACTCCCAGGCCTTGTCTACAGCTCCGGGCCCAGACCTGCCTGAAGCCCAGGTATAGACTCCTCATTCTCTTCATACCCAAAGCCACCTGGGGGCTTTAGCAGGTTTCAGTCCCAGAGCTCTCTGCTCCAGGATGGCTGGGCAGCTTTCCACACCCTGAGCTTCGGGTACATCAGGAGTCCTCCCGGGGCTCTCTACTGATGCCTACTACTCTCCCCTTCCAGGCCAGTTTAACTGTCCTGCAGGTGGCCCTGGCACTGTGCCCTCTTTACTGTGGCTCAGGCACATCTTCCAGAACCCTCTAGCACTTAGGCAGTAGGTGCTTGATTCCCTTTGCAAATCCCCCATGGCTGAGCATCACTCTGACTTGTACTGAGGACAATGGGGAATTCTGAGGCAGCATATCATGAAGAACTGGGGCTGTGGATGGAGCAGCAGCCTCAGACACCAGGGAAGATGTCGTACACCTTGGCTCTTGGGCCAGCAGCAGGCTTGGTGGGAAGGGAGGGACTGCAGAGGGGTGCCTCGGTGATTAGGGCCATCAGATGATGATGATCACTGGTGCCCGATGGACTCCCTGACCCCCGGACTCCCCAGGCTGAGCCGGGCTACCCCACTGGGCTGATGGCTACAGTGGGAGGAACAGATGGGCTGAGAAAGGCAGTGACAGATGAGGACGGACGAGAGGGATCTGGGCATCTTACTGACCTTGAAAATCAGATGCTCGCTTGAGGCTGATGGGGGATTTGGCTCTCTGCAGCTGAAACGGAGCAGGAGAAACAGGACAGAGGACACAAATCAAATAAGGCCCAGACACATCACCAGAGCTAAGAGAAACCAAGCACAGCAGGATGAGACTCTTCTGTGTCACATCCTCGGGCCACCTGGGTCTCATGTGTGAGGTCTTCCTGGATCTGGCTTGGGGAGCTGCTGGTAAGACAACTTTCGTCCCGGGGAGACCTAGCCACCCACAGTGCAGAGGGGCAAGGGTGCGGTGGAGTAGGGCTGAGCCATGCTGCTGCAAGACACAGGGGACTTCTGGAGAGGAGTGTCGCCATCCTGGGCCCCTGGTGTACCAAGCCCTGTGAGATCCCAACTTGGCCAGGGTGGGAGAGGCAGAGAATCAGGCCTGAAGAGCAGTCCCATTCATTCATTTGCTCATTCATTCATTCATTCCTTCCATTCTTCCCTCCACTCATTCACCACTCACTGAGGGTCAGACATGCGCAGTGGACTACACTGAACACTGAGCAAGAGGACAGAATCACTGCTGTGACAGCAGCTTCCAAATGGGGCCTGGCATGTGACAAGCACTCTAAACATACTTGGGGAATAAGCAAATGAATTTCAAAATAATGCTCATTCCACCCCTTGCCTTGTACTGGTATGGGCCTTCATACTGAGCTACTCCCCAGACCTTTGTTTGTTTGGAGACAGGGTCTTGCTAAATTGTGCAGGCTGGGCTTCCAAACTAGTGATTATGATCCTCCTGCCTCAGCCTCCCAAAGCACTGGGATTATAGGTGTGTGCTTTCACGCCTGACTTCTCTTTTAAACATTTCTATTATACTTCTAGGAGAAAGGGAATCACTAAGAACAGACAAACAGGTTCAAGCCACAAGTTGGTATGGTTTCTGTTTCTCAGGCTAAAACAAGTCAAGTCACATCTAGGTGTCTCAGACCTGGGCGGCACTGAGCACAGCATATGGGGGGGGTCCCCCGCCTCGAGGCTGCTGGGGGTGCCCTGCCATCGTGCCCTGAGCCCATACCTGGATGCCCTTCAGGTTCATCCTGCGCCGCGGTGGGTGGTAGGGTGGGAAGTACTTGCTGTCTTCTGGTGACTCCTCAGAGGTGGATGAGTCGTCGGCTTCCTGACCATTGGTCCTGGGGCCAGTATCCCCAAAGCTCTGTGAGATGATGGTGGCTGGTAGGTTTCGGGGCAGACTCTGGGGACAGAGAGATACCAGTGCTGGAGATAAGAGTGAGCAGCTGACAGTCAACTGGACAGTTGGCTGAGGGCACATCATTCCTTCTGGCACCGAGCTTGACACTTGGCTTTCTTCTGTCCTTCAGATGCCAGGGCCTACCAATACAGCTCAGTGATCTCTCCTTCCCTCACTCTCCTGTCCCTTCCTCTCATCCACCAGGGTCTGGGTGGGGCTCTTGCCTTCCTATATAGCAGCAAAGCAGCTGCCCTGCCATCCTGGTCCCTTTCACTTGTACACCTTGATTAAGATCCCAATGTCTGGCCCTATTTTGAACAAATATAGAAAATATTGTGCAAGATGGGTGTGGTGGTACACACCTATAACCCCAGCAACTCTGGGAGGCTGAGGATCACAAATTTGAGCCCAGCTTGAGCAACTTGGCAATTTGTCTCAAATATGAAATAAAAAAGGGCTGGGGAAATAGCTCAGAGTGAAGACCCAGGGTTCAATACTTGGTGCTCGAAAAAAAGGCCAACATAATAAAAAACAGTTCCCAGTATATCCTGAGTGTTTTCTAGCCATTACCTCATTTAATCCTAAATTAATCCTATAAACTATCCTATTGCTAATAGTCACTGTATACAAAATAGGAGGCTGAGTCACGGGGCAATAGCAACTTTGGTGTGAACCCCAAAGTGTTCTCCTATACTTCTCTGCACTAAAACCCTCAAGGTCCCAGAAGAGCTGCAAAAACACTTAGCATACATGGTGGACCCTAACCCTTCCGGATCCCTTCTCCCCCTCTGCTGTCCCCAGACAGAAGAGCTGCCTGCCTGCCTCCCTTTGGGGCCTCTCCTCATGCTCCTTGGGACCTGGGATGCTGGTCCCACCTCTCTTTGCCCAATCAGGTGCCTTTGGCTGCATGTATATATTCAGCAGATACTCACAGGCATGCCCCTGTGCCTTACACTGGGCTGGGTGCCGGGAACAGGAGGGCCTGCAGGGAGCTTACATGTAATTATAAACTGTGCTAATCACTTGAAGGAGAGGGTAAGAGCATGTCACAGTGACTGCGGTTTCTACTGTGGGGCCAAGTGACCGTCTCCTGAGGTGATGCTTCAGCAAGACCAGGTGAGCAGACCTGGCCAGGTGAAGTCAGAGCAGGAGCATACTGGGTAGGGGCCAAAGGACTCCAGGGAGTGCATCTTGGAACCAGGCGTACAGGCCTCTCTGGGCCCTGGCACCCCTTGAATTTAGAGTTTACAGCACTGTGTTGAAAAGCCATGTTCCTGTATTTGCCTTCTCTGTGGGACTCTGCAGTCTCTGAGAGAAGGGTGGCTCTGAGCAGACTCCCTAGGGCCCAGTGACTCAGCTGCTTGGGTCTGGGTTCCTCCTTTGCAAATGAAGATGGAAAGCACACCTTCCCCAAAGGATTGCTCTGTGGGTTTAACGGGGCCAGCACAGCCCCTGCCAGGAGGGTGCCCTGGAGACCCATGGGGATAGTGATCATGATGCCACCTGGATCAAGAGCAGAATTCATTCATTCCTGGGTGCCTGGGGTCACAGGCAAAGGTACTCTGCAACTCATACCGTTCCTTAGGAGTATGGGCACCAGCAATCTTAACCCAATGGTATCTTAAACCTGATGGCCATTCCCACTGGTGAGCAGCCTAAGAAAGAGCCAATGGCCATCTGTGGTCAACTGGGAGGGGTCAAAGGTCTTGATGGGGAGTCACTTGGTCACCGCCTAGGATGTAGCCAACCCAGAGTTGTATCTGCATCTTTTAACTTCAAGATCAGTGGCTTCTACTCAACACTACATAGACTCTAAGAGTCAGAGGACATGGGTGATGTTGAGCATGGGAAGGAAAGATGCTTCTGTCTCAAATGTATGAAGAGTACCTGCACAGGACGTAGAGGCCCCGGCCAGCCATCAGCTGGTGGCGGGAGGGCCCCTGGCTGCAGCCCACCTGGTCAAGGGTGCCGCTGTCCTTGGAGAGGCGCCGGAGCTTGCTCTCCAGGTTGACAATGCAGGCCTCCCGCCGCACCATCTCAATCCTCATCTCGTCGTTCTTCTCCTCTAGCTCACGAATCTGCTTCCGGTACTTGTCTTTCTCGATCAGGCACTGTGAATACTGGGTCTGAGCTTCATCTCGGGAGTGGAAGGCCTATGGGGGTGCCGGATAAAGGCATACGATGGTTGACGTATGGTGTGAATCCCAAAAGGCTGTGTAGAAGGCTTCATTGCCAGCGGATGGGGGTTCAGGAAGTTACTGGATCACAAGGGTTCTAACGTCATCAGTGGGTTAATCCACTGAAAGGCCCATAATCTGATGGCATCATTGGGAGTGGTGGAAACAGGAGGTGGGGCCTAGTTGAAGGGAGTGGATCACAGAGGCATGACCTTGGGGGACTCTATCTGGTGCCTGGCCTCTTCTCTGGCACTTCACCTTTCTCTCTACTTCCTAGTTGCCACGTGCTCTTCCCACCATGATATTTCTGCTTAGCCTAAGGCAATGGAGTGGCCCTGGGACCATGGACCGAAATCTCTGAAACCATGAGCCAAAGTAAGCCTTTCCTCCTCTATACTGACTTTCTTAGGTATTTGGTCACAGGGACACAAGTCTAACAGAGGCTGCTTTGGTGCCTCAACTTGACCATACCAATGCACATCATTTGGAGTCTATACTCTGCCCCGAGAGGGGGTGCTACTGTGGCTATTTCCATTTTACAGATGAGGACACTGAGGCCTCAAGGAGCAAAATCTGAGCCCCAAAAGGTTGTGGATTCTGAAAACCTCACAGGATGGACTTCATCTTCAGACTAGAATTAGGAAAGATAGATTCCTGAGTGTTCCTGTGCAGTCAGGGCCATCATACTGGTCAAAACTTGCTGAGCCTTCTGTTCCTGCACCCCAGGCAGGTGTACCTGGTCCCGCTCGCGCTCCACCTCCTCCAGCTGCAGCATGACAGTGGTCATGCGGTGCTTGTACATTTCGCAGTCTTTCCCCAGGGTTGAGCACTTGAGCTCCAGGTCCTCCTTCTCCTCCAGATACTGTGAGCAACAAAGAGAAATCAATACATGCATCAAGCAATCGATAGGTAGGGGCTAACAGCTGTTTTCTGGAGGTGCATCCTGCAGGCCGGAGGTGGCCTATCCTTCCTGAGCTGGTGTGGTCAGAAAGTGGCCTGTCCTTCTGAGAGCCAGCTGCCTGACTGACAGCAAGGGACCTTGGTTCAAGGTAGTCAATCACACAGGAATGGATGAACCTACTATGTGCCTGGTGATGTTGGGGGAGGAGAGCACAACACTGCCCTCTTGCGGCTTCTTTGGTCAGAAAGAGAAAGACTAAACCAAGCTGCATTAGCTAAACTAATACAACTCATAACAGCTGCAAGGGTGTTGGGTGTGGAAGCATGGGGAATTGACATCAGAGGTCAGAGCCAGTCCTTGGAAAGAGGTATGGGGTCAGCAGGCTCAGTGCACTCTGCTGGGAAAGGGGACAGGCTGAGGGTACCAGTTGGCCAAAGCTGTCTCCAGAACCCCCAAAGCTCCCACCTTATCCCGAAGCTCCTCAGCCTGGCGGACCTCCTCCTGCAGGTTGTAGATCTTATTGACTAGCTCCTGCCGATCCTCCAGTGCTTCCTTGCGGTCATGCTCCAGGATGTCCAGGATGGCTTTGTCCGAGTCTGGTAGGCTGCGCTTGCCGGCCTGGGTGGGCAGGGAGGAGGGTGTGATGGTGCTAGGACTGGGGCAGGGGGGAGCAGGGTGGACAGGGAAGGCAGGAACAAAAGAGCCAGCCACAGTCTTGGAGAGAGCAGAAGATTTTGTGCCAGGAAAGCAGAGGTAAGAAGAAATTTCTCTTGGGGCCTTTAAGCAGCTTATTATTTAAGAAGTTTATCACCTGAAAAGAAGCATAAAACCCACTTCTGCTCAGGAATACTCAGAGCCCATTGTTCTGCCACAGCTCTTATCAGAGCCTAGAGGAGCACGGGCTGTTCCTCCAAACCCTTCAGAGGTGAAAACAAAGGCAGGGCTGCCCTGCTTTTCTGATGCCATCCCCAAAATACCAACCAATCTGCTCTGATTAAACTGGGATTCAGTCCCTGCTCTGAAATTAAGCCTGGCCCAGGCAGACAGTCCTGGGGATCATCCTGGAGAAGTACAGGGGATGATTTTACTTTCCTTCCCAAATGTATTTTGGGGTGTTCTGACTCAGTGACGACCCCCTCTGTATCCACACATGATTCTGGGATGACAAGTCAGGGAGAAATTTGAAAGAGACGTAATGTATGGCTGAGTTTCTTGGGCTCTTGAAGAACAAGGAGGCTTCCCAGATGTACTTTTCTCTCTTCAGTGCTGGGGCATTGATTTCTGTGTGAATGAGGTTTTTTCATAGGACGTGTCAATGAAAGAAATGATTTTGCAAATGTGACTTCCTGTGATGTCACGTGTCTCATAGGGAGGCTGTTACGGTTCAGATCTAGATGTCCCCCAAAGGCCTATTTGCTCTGAGGTGGGAGCTTTGGAAGGTGACTAGCTTGTGTGTGTGGGTTATAGCTGATTTGCTATTAGAAGGTAGGGTCTGGTTGGAAGAGGCAGGTCACTGCAGATATGACCTGGAAGGTTATATCTCCCTTTCCAGCTCCTTCCTTGACTCTCTGTTTCCTGGTCACCATGAGGTGAGCGGCTCTCCTCCACCCAGGCCCTTCCACCATGTTGTTCTGCCTTGCAGCCAGCCAACTATAGACTGAAACCTCTATAAGCTGTGAGTCAAAATAAACCTTCCCTCCTTTAAATTGTGGCTGTCAGGTATTATGTCTCAGTGACAAGAAAGCGATTATGTGGTCACCCCTACTTCACAGAGAAGGAAAGTGTGGTGCCCAAGGATGGATGCCCTGCATGTCTGTGGTCCTGCAGTTAGCAAGCTGAGACTCTGGACTCACACCCGGCTCTGCCTGCCCCACCTTTGGAAAGCAGCTCCTCACCTGGATGATGGACTGCAGCTCCTGGATCTTCGTCTTCAGCATTTCATTCTCTCGCTCCAGTTCCAGGACCTGCTCCTTCTTTGGCCGACTCTCGATGTCGTTCTTCAGCTTCAGAGACTGATTTCTCTCCAGCTTACATTCCTCCTCCATCTTGTTCAACCGGTGCTTCAGTTGATCAATCTAAAACACACAAAGGAGCTGAGAGGCGACCGCGGCTGGTGAGGAACACAGGGCAGGGCAATGCTTCCAATGCTTCCCCAGATTTGGCCGGGGATCCAGCACAGCCGGAAGGCCAGGGTGCAGAGGAATTTTCTCCAGGAAACCACACCCCCATCTCCTCATTGATGGAGACTTCCAAGTTAGTTCATTTACAGTACTTTAAACAGCTATGTGTCTCTTAGAAGACTCTCTCAGGGAACTCTTGTAGAAAAAGCTATATGTCAGGATAGAAGATACCCAAGCAGGTGTCTCCTTGAGGTGTGTTATTTATTTCCATGGTCTTTCAAATGGATCCTTGGAACCCAGGGATTCCCCCGAAGAGCCCTAGGGGTATGGAAGGGAATGTAGAGATGGCTGCCACCTGACTTCTTTCCCCAGCAGCTTTGCTTGCTTATCTTTTGTCCTCTTGGACTTTATACAAGACTATCTGGAAAAATAGCATTGCTGTTAAAAAATAAAATCGCTTAAATTCCACTGACCTCTAAGTTCACAGGATCTCTAGCCTAAAAATGTGTCCAGATTCCATGCCAGGATAAGTGGCTCCCTAGAGGAGGCAGCTACATCTGAAAATGGCATAACTAGAGATGTACTGAGTGTCAACCTCAAGACTTTAGCATCTGGAGATTGGGCCAACAGATACCTTGATCCTTTGTGAGTAAACCTGTGTGCTTCCCCAAACAGGCCTTAGGGAGCGCCCAGAACAAGATTGTGCTCATGGGTTGTGGGGAAGAGAGGCACTAAACGAGTTGATGTCATTTTTCAATTCTAGGATTGTGGGGAAAACAGCCTCAAGAAATCTGGCAGGTAGAAGGTGGTGGCTTCAACAAAGAAAGGTCTGGTACTGCATTTCTATGGCCCAAGAAAAAGGCACACAGAGGGAAAGCAGCCTGGAGCAGAGAAATAATCCAGAGACTCAGCTGGCTTTCAATTCTACACACACTTTCTAGTTATTAACACATCTCCAGGGAATCATAATACAGGAGAAAGTTCCAGGAGAGAAACTTCTAAGTCCCTGACACAGGTTAGTTTCTCTTTTTAACCATGCCAAAAACCAAACCAAACAAAAACCAAACCAAACATACAACCAACAGCAACAACAACAAAAAACAAAACAAAACAAACAAAAAACAAAGAACAAAAACCTCTTTGGGATCTTTGAAGATCAACCCAAGTCCTGGGCTGGGTCCATATCCCCAGTTCCAAAAAGGTTATCAAAGACTTATGGTGCAGAAGCTTGGCAATCCTAAGGCCAGGTACTATCTTCCTTATTGTCACTTACAAGCAAAGACATCTGAAGCCAATAGCTAAGTAAGTGGTAAGGCTAAAAGCCAGAATTTGAACTCAGAACTACAAGACTTTACAGTTCACCCTCTTAGCTGAAATGCTCTACTGTCTGCTATGCCACGGACTCAATTCACCTGCACTCTGTGGATTGTTTACTGATCTGTCTGCCTCACTAAATTGTAAGTGACCCAAACAGAGCTCAGGTTATTTATCCCTGTGTCCCTCACAGTGCTTAGCACAGTGCCTTACACATGGCAGGTGCTTAATAAATATTCTGAGAGTCTATTTTCTACCCAGCAGCCAGAGTGATCCTTCTAAGATATAAATCAGTTGTCACTCCTCAGCTCTCAATCCTTTAGTGGCTTCCATCAAAACTAGAATAAATTCCAAAGTTCTTACTGTGCCCTCATGATCTGGACCCTGGCCATCTCTCCCACCTCCTTTTGTACCATTTGTTCATTTGGCTCCAGCCCCAGTGGCTCTTCTGCCATTACTCAAGGAAAAAAAGGAGGTTAAAAAAAAGCCAGCCCCCCTCTCCTTCAGGGCTCTGCATTTGCTTTTCTTTTCACTCATGGCTGCATGGCTTCCTTTCTTCACATCCTTGCTTACATGTTCCCTTGTCAGAGACCCTATAAGACGGCACCCTTCACTTTCTATCCCTACTCCATCTTCTCTTAGTAGCACTCAAACTAACAGGTATCTATGTATTTGTTTTCTGATTATAATGTGAATTGCATGATGGCGGGGTCTTGGTCTGGAGATATGTATCTCTGAAAATGAGTGGGGTACATGGTGGCATTCAGTAAATAGATGGAAAGCATGAATGTGGCAAATTCCCTTTCTTCCTTCATTTAGGTGGTAAACTCTTTAATCATGTCAATCACTTGGCTGGTGGTTTGTTGGCTGATAAATGTATTGACTACCCCACTGTGCCAGGAACCAGGCTGAGCTCTGTGGATACAGACTTTAGGGACATCATCGTGGTCCTAAGGAATTTACCTCCCACAGGACAGGCTCAACATCCATTTCCTCAATTTCCCGGCATATTATAGGTCGGGGTCTTTGTGTATCCCACTTCCCCATCACCATGTCTGGCACAGGCTGTGTTCGCATGTCAGCACATGTGCAGAAGTGATCTGGAGCCAGCAAATTCACCGCATCTTTGGGCGCATGCGTGCACAGGCGCAGAGAGGATCTAGGTTGCTGAGCCAGAGGAGCCAAGCCCGCCTAAGTCTGTGTGCTCTGCACAGTGGGTTAAACGCTCCCTCCCGCCTGTCTCCTCCAGTCCATCATCTGACTGGGTGGGAACCTCTGGTGTTGCCTGTGTGAGCATGTCAGCATGTGTCCCTGTGGTATATTGAGCCCCAGGGACATTCACTTTTCCCCCCCACCCCCAGGTTGATGAGTAACTCCAGTGCCCCTACCTCGAGTTGGAGGTCTCGGCTTCTCATTACGGCCATGTTTTTCTCTTCACTGAGCTGGGCATAGCGCATGGCTAGATTATAGTTGTCGTCCTTGACCTTGACCAGCTCATCATTGTAGCTGTCCCGCTCCTCCTTCATCTTGTAATACCGGTCCTGGAAGGTCAGCAGCTCCACCCGTGTAAGTGTCAGCTGCTTCTTCTCATCCTCCAGCTGCCGGGACTTAGCCAGCAGCTCACAGCGCTGCAGGTCCTTGGCCTTCATCTGCTGCTGCAGCTTGATGACTTCATTCATCAGGAAGTGCGTGAGGCCCTCGTGGCCCTCCTCTACTGCAGAGAGGGACACCCTGTTAGGTTCAAGGGTGAGGCAAGGGCCATTCACTCACTCAGCCACTCACCAACACTGTGCTGAGCTCTTTTACCCATACACACACACCCAGAGTCCAGATGATGGCAAAGCCACTTACCCACAATGGTGGAGAATCTCCGGGTGGGCTCCTTTCCAGTCACTAGTTTATACAGTTCTGGGTAGTAAAATTCCAGGCTCTCCAAGAAGACCACATAGCCTCTTTGCCCCTTGGTATGTAGAATATCCAATAATCGGCCTAGAGGAAAGACCACACCACTCAGGAGAAAATTATATATCTTATTGGGTGCAAATTTCCACCTCCAGTCTTACCTTGCATTTTCCCCCTCAAACTCAAAGAAGACAGTCTTACCACATTCTATCACTCCTGAGTCGTACCATGGAGTTGGATAATGTAGCCAAAATACCAGGCCCTCACCATGGATTCATGGAATGTGCATCTCGTTTCACTAATAAATTGGTAGAACTAGGATTACAAAGAATTGTAGGCATGGGGACGGAGCCAGCAGTTTCGAAGAGCTTCCCTTTGACCAGGGCTTAAATTAATCATACAAGCACCACTGAAGGAAGTTAGAAGTACATGGAGTAATATATGGCTCCCCGGGATTCAGAGCAAGAGGACAAATATTTGGGTGGGAAGCTTTCAAGAAAAGTCAGAGGGAGGAGGCATAGCTTCATGTTCTTTAGAATTATACCACAGCCTGGAAATGTTTAACCTACTTGTATTCTTCCCAGTTGTTTACAGTTTCCAAACCTATAAAGGTTTGGACGTTATTTGTCCCCCAAAAGTTCATGTGTTGAGAGCTTGGTCCTCAATGTGGAGATACTGGATAGTGGGACCTTTTAGAGATGGGGCTTAGTGGGAGATCCTTAGGTCATTTGGGGTTGTGCCCTTGGAAAGGATGGTGAGATTCCAACCTGTCTCTGGCTGTCTCGGGGATGTGATCTTTTCCTTACACACACTGCTGCCATGACGTGACACTACCAAGAGGGCCCTCATCAGAGCTGAGGCGATGCTAGTACCATACCCTTGAATATCCAAAACTGTGAGCTAAATAAATCTAAATAAATCTCTTTTCTTTAGGCTAACCTGCCTATTTTGTTATAGTAATAGGAAGAAAAAAAAAAAGATCTAAAATTTAGGGCTGGGGATTTAGCTCAGCAGTTGGGTGGCCCACCTTGCAAGTGCAAGGACCCGAGTACCAAAAATCAATCCCCGATACCAAAAAAAAAAAAAAGGAACAGACTAAGACACTATTGATTCCACTTGCTGTTTACACTTTATGGCCTCTTCTTAAACTTTTTTTTTCAGATACCCCCCCCATAAGGTCTTACACTTTATCTTTTCCCCAAGATAGATATGATATAAATATATTTCATCTCGTGTCAATCCTGTGTTTGAGGAAGCTGCTTGGAGCTCTGTATTAGAAGGATTCCAAAGCCACATCCAAACTCAGTGGGAAGGCATGCTGTGATTAATTAAGGATGTCGGCCACAGATTCGAAAGAATCACAGCATATGAACCACTTATCATCAGTTACACTGCAGGACCATAATTTCCAAACCTTTTAAACTACAGTTCACAAAAAATAAATAAATAAAATTTACACTGTGATCTAGTAGTGACCATACACACAAATAAGTATACAAACATACGTGTGTGCACCCACACGTATATCAAACTAAAACAAGTTTCACAAATATGAAAATTACTTTTACTGAGCATGATAGAGTTCCATGGCCTCCCAGGCACTCCAGAAAAGCCTGTGGATTCCTTCTCAAAATAATGTTTAAAAAAAAAAATGGATTAAACACATCTGGTTACAAAGAAAGCCAATTATAATACAATTATCAAATGTTAAATAAAGCTGTGATTCAGTTATAAATGTGCTACTTTTTAATGCATTAAATAAGAAGATCTCTTGGCAGGCTTGATAACTACTGTGATTTTGAGGGAGAGATGAGTGCAAATGGTATTTTAAGACACCTGCAAAGCTGTAATGTGGGATATAGAAAAATCTGTAATTTTTATTGTTGATATAGTTGCAGGTATTAGTACTCACTACCGGGATTTGTTGCCTGCCACCATTCATTTTTGAAGGCAATGCTAGATTTCAGTTCATGTTTGCAAAATCAAGATGTAATTTCCTCCCTCTCCAAGACCATGGGTTCTGGAGTCCTGTATCTTGAGGGGGTAAGGAGTGGGTGGTGGTCTGTGATCCGAGTTTGAAAATCCCTGACCCAGAGAAACCCCAATTTGGTACAGCTAGTGTGGGGGACCTCCTAGCCCCCAGGGGGCTCTTGAGGTTACCTGCCCGGTTGATCTTGGATGGCAGCATGGGGGCGCTAAGCACCTCGTCTTCATCTTGCTCATCGATAACCTTACACTGGCGCAGGTAGGGGGTGAGCTTGGCTGGGTTGATGTAGCGGCTCAGCATGTGCCGATTGCACTCCACGTTCTCCCACAGGGCGTCCTCCTCGTCCTTCAGCGTCTCCATGTACTCGTCCATCTCGGGCCCGCCTCCTTTGACAGAACCCCCGCACAGTTAGTGCGAGCACCTTCCCCGAACACTCCATAAGCTGCTCTAGGGTGAGCTTGCAAATATAATGTTAAGTTAAAAAGTACGGTAGAGGAAAGCACATCTGGTCTTTTACCTTTTATCTGAGAAAAGGGCAATGAATATAATAAAAATATATTTTCCTTGTATACGAAACATAAACAATGGAAGGATGGGCCATAAAAATTTTAAAAGGTTGTTTATTGGGGGAGAGAGAGGGGAAACTTGGCCATTGGAGTATACTTTTCCCACCTAAGGTTTTATCTTACTAAATATGTCTTTCCCCAAACAACAGTATACTACTGTTTTTTGTTTTAAAATTTCACATAGATGGTATTGTATTGTATGTTTTCTTTTTCATTTGGCTTTCCCCACCTCTGTGTTTCTTTGAGCTTTATCTACGTATATTTGTTTCATTCATTTTTTAAAAACAGCATCATTGAGATATAATACACATACCACACAACTGCCAATTTAAAGTATACACTTCAATGTTTTTAAATACACTCCTGGGGTTGTACAATAACCACCACAGTCTAATATTTTAGAATATTTATGTTCCCCTTAGAAGAAACTCACAGCTGGGTGGTAGTGCAGGCCTGTAATCCCAGCACTCTGGGAGGCTGAGGCAGGAAGATCCCGAGTTTGAGCCCAGCCTGGGTAACTTAGTGAGTTAGTGAGAACCGGTTTCAGAACAAAAATATGAAATAGGGCTGGGGGTGTAGCTCTGAGCTGAGGCCAACATTGAGTACTTCCAACAAACAGACAAACAAACAAACCACCAAAACCCATAAAACCAAAACCAATACAAACACAACAACCACTACAAAAAACCAAAACTCATGCCACTAGCAAATCCTCTTGATTTCCTTTCTACTTCCTTCATTGTCGACCACTAATCTACTTTCTGTTTCTATGGATTTGCCTATCCTGGATGTTTAATATACACAGAATCATATAATGTGTTCCTTGAGACCAGCTTCTTTTAGCAGAATGTTTTGGAGGTATATCCGTGTTGAAGAATGTACCAATGTTTCATCTCTTTCTTTAAAAAAGTTTTACTGAGACATAATTCACATGCCATATAATTCACTTTTTAAATGTGTATAAGTCAGTGATTCCAAGAACTGTGTGATGATCACCACAATCAATTTAAAGCAACATTTCTGTCACTTCAGAAAGAAATCTCACACCATTATCGGTCACTCTTCCTTTACCTCCAAATCAGGCCTTTATGTAACCACTAAGCCAATTTCTGTCTAAGCCGATTTGCCCTTTCTGGATATTTCATATGAAGTCATATATTTATAGTACTTGTGGGCTGGCTTCTTTCCCTCGGTTTTCTAGCTGTAGAATGTATCGGTATTTCATTTAAAAATTGCCAAATGACTTTTCATGGTGTGATGACTAGAACACATTTTGTTATCCCTTCACCCACTGATGGGTATTTGAGTTTTTTCTGCTTTTATTTTATCATGAACCTCACATACAAGTTCTCTGTGGACTTATGAATCTCCCCTGAGGAGATTCATGGGAGTGGAATTCCTAAGCCATACAGTAAGTCCATATGTTTCACATTTTGAAGACCTGCCAAACTGTTTTCCGAAGCAGCTGTACCATTTTACAGTCCCAGTAGTATTGTGTTCGTGTTTCAGTTTCTCCACAGTCTTGCTAATATTAGTTAGCCTCTTTTCTTAAATCATCATTATGCTACAGGAAGAGAGGTGGTATCTTATTGTGGGTTTGATGTACATTTTCCAAATGACTGATTTTGAGCATCTTTTCATTGGACATTTGTGCACAGAGATAGAAGGAATAATTAAAATATGGGGAATATTTATAATTTTAAAATTTATTACAGTAAAATACACATCATTATTTCCCCTCAGAATGCTCCCCTGCCCCCAGCTTTGAACATACTACCCCACCATTCCTGCCGCTTTCTAAAGCAGTCTGGAAGTCCTTTTCTGCGAGTGTACTTAGTCGTGTTGTTGTGGCTGCCACAATGTCCTGAATTGATCCAAAACATTTATCTTTCATGGTGGCCACTCTGACTTTAGGCAAAAGCCAGATGTTGTGCGGTGCCAGATCCTGCAAAGGTGGCTGAGGATACACTGTCATGTTTTTGTCAGCCTGATTTCCTGTTGGATAGCACTTAGCAACACTATTCTTATATTTTTGATCACATCTTGTGAAGGCACCCAGGAAAGTGGTCTTCCAGAGCGGCTTCAGAACATGGTAAGAATGATGGGATGATTGTGTTGGAGTCCAGGGGGAGAATTTTGAGGGGGATTCATGGCAATGCGTTTCTCACAATGAATTTAAACACTCACTGTACATTTTGATCACACAGATATCTATTGAAATTCTTTGCCATTTTAAAGTTGAGTTGTCTGTCTTTTTATTCTTGAGATGCAGGGGCTCTTTATGTATTCTGGATGCAAGTCCTTTATCAGACACAAAACTTGCGAATATTTTCTCCCTTTTTGTCCCATCTTTTTACTTTTTAAAGACAACGTAGCATAAAAGTTTTAAATTTGATGTAGTTCAATTTGTTATTTCTTTTCTTACTTATGCTTTGGCAGGCATAAAAATCATTGTTTAATTAAAGGTGAGGAAGACTTATTCCTATTTTTTTCCTTAGAGTTTTATATGTTAGCTCTTACATTCATGTCTATAACCCATTCTTAGTTAGTTTTTGTGTTTTATATGAAGTAGTGATCCAAATTCATTGTTTTATGTGTGGACATCTGGTTGTCCCAGTATATGTCAACAAAACAAAACAAAACAAAACACCCATCCTCCCAAAAAACCCCACTAGGCTTTCTTCATTGAACAACTGTGATGCTTTTGCTGGAAATCAACTGACCATAAATATAAAGGTTTGTTCCTGGACTCTCAATTCCATTCTAATGATTTATATGTCTCTCTTTATGCTAACACCACATTGTCTTGATTGCTACAGTTTTGTTTTGTTTTTTTGAGACAAGGTCTCACTATGTAGTTGAGACTGACCCGGAACTCACTATGTAGCCCAGGCTGGTCTCAAATTCAAAGCAATCCTCCTGCCTCAGCCTCCCAAGTGCTGGGATTACAAGTGTGCACCACCATGCCCAGCTTCTACAGTTTTTAATAGGGTTTTTGAAATTGGGAAATATGAGTCCTGTAACCTAGTTCTTTTTCAAGTTTGTTTTGGCTAGTAGGGGCCATTATACAATTCCATTGGAGTGTTAGTTCAGTGAATCCACTGAATATGTAGATCAGTTTGAGGAATATTACTCCCTAACCACATTAAATGTTCCAATCCATGAACATGGGATATCTTTCCATTTATTTACATCTTTAGTTTCTTTCATCAACATTTTATAGTTCTCAGTGTATGATATAATTTGCATCAAGGTTTGTATGTAAAGGTATTGTCTCCTGGGTGGCACTACTGGGAGGTGCTGTGGGCCTTTATGAGGTCAGGCTTTAAGGAAGGTCTTTATATCATTGCGGGACATGCCATGAAAAGGGATTACGTTACCCTGCCCCTACCTCAAGCTATGACTGCTTGCTCTGACACATACTTGCACTGTTAAGTGTGCCAGTGTCACCAGAAATCCAAACCAATAGGACCCCCAATATTGAACTTGAATCTCCAGAATCATGAGCTGCAATAAACCTCTCTTCACTTCCTAAGTAGCCTGTGTCAGGTATTCCGTGATATGAACAGAAAGCTAATACAGTATGCAGGTCTTGCACTTCTTTTGTTAAATTTATTCCTAAGTATTTTATTATTTTGATGACATTGTAAATGGGAATTGCTTTCTTAATTTCATTTTTCAAGTGATAATTGTTGGTGTAGAGATACACAAATTCTGAAACCTTGCTGAAATCATTTCCTAGTTTTAATGATTTGTTAGTAGATGCCTTAGGATTTTCTCTATATAAGATCACGTCATGTGCAAATAGAGAGAGTTTTAATTCTATCTTTCCAATGTGGATGCTCTTCATTTCTCCTTCACATGTAAGTGCCCTGCCTAGAACTTCTAGTATATTGTTATTTAGAAGTGGAAAGAGTAGACATTCTTCTTTTATTCTTGATCTGAGGGGGAACATATCAACCCATTCATCATTAAGTATATTAGCTGTTTTGTTTTATTTTTAAATGGATAAAACAGTTTATCAGGTTAAGAGAGTTCCCTTTATTTCTAGTTGTTGAATATTTTTGTCATGAAAGGATCCTTGATTCTGTCAAATACTTTTCCTCAATCTATTGAGATTAGTATATGGTTCTGCTTTTTATCCTATTGATATGATACACTGCATGAGTGAACTTTCAGATGTGAAGAAAATCTTGTATTCCTGTGATAAATCCCACTTCCTCATGGTAGTATCTCCTTCTTTTTCTTCTTCATCTCCTCCCTTAACCTCCCCCACTTTTTTTTTTTGGTACCGGGCATCGAACTCAGGTCCTTGTGCTTGTGAGGCAGGCAGCAGAACCACTGAACTAAATTCCCGGCCTTATCCTCCCCCACTTTTTGAGACAGGCTCTCAGTCAGGTTGGTGTCAAATTTGCTATGTCTCCTAGATTGAACTTGGATTTGTGAGCCTCCCCCTCAGTTCCCCAAATGCTGGGATTACAGCACACACCATCACATCCAGCTCAATCACGGTGTTTACTTCTTTATGTGTGTTGCTGGATTGCTAATTCACTAGTATTATTTAGAATTTTTACATCCATATTCACGAGAGACACCAGTCTAGTTTCTTTTCCTGTGATGTCATTGTCTGGCTTTGATATCAAATCACACTGGCTCACAGCATGAGATGGAAAGTGTTTTCTTTTTTTCCTTATCACTTCAACTTTTGGGAAGATTTTCTGAAGAATCAATATAATTTTTCTTGTTAAGTAGAATTTATAATTAGAGACATTGGGGTATAGTTTTCTATGAGTTATTATTTACTTTATGAGTTATTATGATTGTTTTCATGGATTTACTCTCTTTCCTTGTTGTAGGTCAGTTCATATTTTCCGTTTCTCTTGAGCTAGTTTCAGAAGTTTGTGACATCCTAGGAATTTATCCACTTCAGGCAAGACATCTAATTTATCAACAGTAATTGTTCATAGTTTCTTTTCTACTCCTTTTGTCTCCTTAAAGTTCAGTTATAATGTTCCCTCTTCCATTTCTCTTTCTAGAAATTTAAGTTTTCCTTCTTTTTTTCCAGGCAGCCCAGCTAAAGTTTTCTCAATTTTGTAGATATCTCTTTTTCTTTTTCCTTCAGTATGCAGGATCAAACTCAGGACCTTGCACTTGCAAGGCAGATGAGGTACCACTGAACCAAATCCCTGGCCCTGTTGATATTTCAAAGAATCAACATTTGTTCTCATACTGCATATCAAACCCAGGGACTTCACACTGAGCCCTCTAGTCCCTTTAATCTTTATTTTGAGGCAGGGTCTTGCTAAGTCACTAAGTTGCCCAGATTCTCAAAGTGCTGGCATTATAGCATGTGTCACTGTACCCAGCTAAGAATCAACTTTTGATTTCATTGATTTTTCTCTATTCTTTTTCTATTTTCAGATCAATTTATTTCTTTGTTAGTATTTATTTTCTTCTTTCTGCTCAATTTGGGTTTAGTTAGTTTTACTTTTTCTACTTTTGTAAGGTAGGAAGGTTGGTTGTTTGTTTCAGGTCTTTTTTCCTTTTCAGTATAGGCATTTATAGGTATCATTTTTGCTCTGTGCATTGCTTTAGTTACATCCTGTAGGTTTTTGTATATTGCGTCTCCACAACATATTTGCTTATTTCTAATTCCCATGTGATTTCTAATTTCCTTTGCAATTTCCTCTTTGACACATTCGCTACTTAAGAGTAAGCCATTTAACTCCCCCATATTTGTAAAGTTCCTAAATTTCCTTCTATTATTAGTTCTAACTTCATTCCATTATGGTTGGAAGACATACTCTGTCACTGTGATACTTTCAAACTTACTGAGGTTTGTTCTGTAGCCTAGAATGTAGCCTAATCTGGAAAATGTTTCATGTTGTGGGTGAAAATACGTGTAATTCTGCTGCTATCAGATGGAATGTCCACAGATTTCTGTTAGGACTACTTTTTTTACAGTGCTGTTCAAATCTCCCATTTCTTGATTTCTGTCTAGTTGTTCTACCCATTATTGAAAAATAGGGCAATAAAGTCTCAAGCTATTATTGCTGAATTGTATATTTCTCCCTCCAGTTCTTCCAACCTTTGCTTTGCATATTTGGTGCTCTGTTAAGTGCACAGAAAATTCCCTGGTGGTATATTATTATGAAATGTTCTTCTCTATTTCTAGTAATATTTTTGTTTTAAAGTTTATTTTATCTGCTATTGGTGTAGCCATTCCAGCTCCCTCATGGTTGTTGTTAGCATGGTATATATCTTTCTGACCTTTTATTTTTCATCTCTTTACATTTCTGAATCTTGAATGTGCCTACTGTATACAGCATACAGGTGATCTTGTTTTTTAAAGTCCAACTTGATAATCTCTCATTTTTGATTGGTTTATTCTTTTTAAATTGTGTATATGATTCCATTGTAAGAATATACAATTTTTTATACATTCCCTCATTGCTGGATATTTAATTTCTCCCCAGTTTTCACCTGAATACTTAGAAAAAATGGAAACAGCTGAATTATTCAGCAGTAGACATTCTTGATCTTTTTGCACTATAGGGTGCTCAGTGCGCATTTTAAAAGCACATGGTAGCTGGGTGTGATAGATAGTGCATACTTGTAATCCCAGGACTCTGGGTTACTGAGGCAGAAGCATGGCAGTTTGGAGCCCAGCCTCAGCAACAGAGTGACTTAGCGAGACTCTTGTCTCAAAACATGAGAAAGGAATGGGTGTAGCTTAGTGCAAAAGCCCTGGGTATAATTCCTGGTACCTCTCACCCAACCTCCACACATGGCTTGCTCAGTGCTGTAAGCACAGGAGAGAACTGAGAGTTAGGTGCTAAGAACTTGTGGCCTGCAGGTCAGCAGTGTCAGCCTAGAAAGCAGGGCTTCCCATCCTTCACAGACAAGGCACTGTAGCTGGCATGTGAGACCATAGGTACAGGGTGCTCAGTGCTGCAGAAATGTTTTCTCCCTGCCCAAGTGGTGAAGCAGCCACTCTGGCAGCCATCAGCAAAGAAGGAAATGACTAGGTGACATCTGTTTTCCCAAGCAGAGATGAAAGAGGCTTCCTGCCTCAGAGCAAGGCAACCACAGACCTTCGGCTTTGCAGGAGCCATGATACCAAGAGCACTCTCTGCAGCATGGCTATGGGGCCACTAGGGGCCGAGTGGCCCCTGGGAAAGGTGGCCAGCATGGGAGCATGTGGTAAGCGCCATCTGTGCATGGAGGTAGCAGAGGCATTTCCTGCACAGTCCCTGCCTGTGAGGTGCTCAAAGTTCAGGGCTAGGTGATGTCCGTCTACACAAACAGCTGCAATGTGACATGCAAGAGGCAGCCCAGACCCACAAAAGGGGTGACAGGTGAAATAGCCATGGAACAGAAAGTGCCACCCTGTGCCAACACTGCATCTGACCCCTCCTAGAAATCATACCATAGCCACCCAGAAAGGTGCTGTGATCACCCCAGTTCTGTAGACAAGGAAACCCAGATTCAGAGAGCCTAGCAACTCACTCCAGGACACACAGCAAGTGTGAATTGGGATCCCGCTTAGACCTCCCACACCAAGGCACTCCTAGGACTTCTCACCATGGGGCAGGGGGGCTTCTGGAGCAGGTGTCTGCTGAGCAAGGGGGAGGGTGTGGTACACTGGGTCCAGCTGTCCCCATGGGCAGCCATGAAGAGTGAGGACAATATTGCACCTGTTGCCCAGTGGGGCTCAGCTGCAGACTTGCTAGTGCCTAAGAGAGGCTTTTGTCTCTAGTAGGGCTGAACACTTGTTCACCATGACCAGATCTCCCTCCCCAGTGTGATCCCTGGAGAAATGACCCAAGTGCATCAGGGGACTTAGGCAGGAGGGTAGATAGAAGCATCACGAGCACTCTCGTGTAGGGGAGGGGTGGATAACCCATACATTCCATGGTGGCATCCATCACTGCAGTGACAACGTTAAGAGATACAGCTGTGTGCAGCAGCCCAATGGGCCTCAGGAGCATGAAGCTAAGAAAAAGAAAGTCACTAAAAGCACAAGACAGGAGACTGTCCAAACAAGCTTCAAAGCACACCAAATAAAGTTGGGTGTGGTGGGGCACACTGTAATCCTGGTACTCTGGGAGGCTGAGGCAGGGGGATGGCAAGTCCAGCCCGGGTAACTTAGTGACTTAGTGAGACCCTGCCTCAAAATAAAAAAATGGAGGATATAGCTCAGTGCAAAGGTTGTAAAGTCAATCCCCAGTATCACAATAAAACACCCCAAACTGTCAAAAAGCCACATGCAACAAAACTCTGCTTCCAGGGCATTCAGAAAAACTGCCCTGGAAAGTAAGGGGCTGGACTGATTAGAGTGGAAGTTCACCCTGGGGAGGACAGCTACACAGATGTGACCTTGGGAGGGCACAGGGGAAGTCATGATGCTGCTGCAGCTGGGGCCAGGGCGTCCTTGGCTGTTCTATCACACAGATGCATGCTGTGCATACATCTTCACTGCATGTGAAACACTCATGGACGGCGGGTAGCGAAGCTGCCCTCAAAATAGAACAACGTGCCTTGGACCCAATTTAAAGCGGTTTTCCTCTTCCAAACACTATAACTCAGCCAGACTTGTTGCCATCCCTGGGGGCCAACCCAGCGGTGTATGTCAAGCTCTGGCAGTTTCTTTAACAGTTTGTCCAGAAATGTAGTCTTAGATGCGGAGGCTGTGAATCCCACCAGCCCTCTCTTCTCATGGTCCATCTCTAACCTCATTCAGAGGTGTAAAGTGAGGCAGCCCTGACCCAGCCTGCGTGGGGTCTGGCTTCCAGGTCCCTGGTCCTCAGGTCCCTCTACAAACAGCCCCAAAGCAAGTTAGGCTCCAGGACCAGTCTCTGCGGGGACTGCCTTGGTGCTTGCCTTTTCTGGGAAGCACAGGTCATGGGGACCTACCTTCCCATGCCTAAATTTCATGACAGCCACTGGCACCCTCCTGCCCTCATTCATTTGAGGCATTTATCATGTAGCCCCTCTCACTGTGACAATCAACTCCAACATCTTGATCTCTACCTTCAGTTACCATCCACCAGTTCCACGGCCTCAGTGCAACCATGCCCCTGGCTCCCTGGGCTTTTCGCTGATCGTACACCAAACTGGGCTCCAATCACAGCCTGCTTCTTGCCCCTCCCTTCCTTGACACCCCTCACTGAGTCGCAGAGAACCCCATTTACCATTTTTCGATTAAAAGAGATGACACAAGTACAGTACCTGGCATGTGGCAGGTGCTCAAAATATAGAAGCTGCAGAGCTGTCTCTGAGCTCTGACACATACACTTTCTGCTGGCTCCTGTCCTCACTCAGCCAATCTCCCACTGGATCTGCAGCCTGGATGGCTGGGACCTGAAAAGAGAAAGACTATCAGACCTGGAGCAGGGGTGCAGGATGGAGAGGAAAGGGAAAGTCATGGATCAAAGGCTGAGTGCTCGGCTATGGAAGAAAGGCCAGGACGTGCAGGTGACAGTGACAGGTGGGCCATTACAGTACCTAGCAGGGGAGAAGGGCTTCTGCCCTCTCCAGTGGCATAGGCATCTGGGAAGGCCACAGACAGACCTCTATGGGTAGAGACCTTGGGTGGCCATGGGGTGACTCCTGGCCAACATGCAAGTCCTCTGCAGGTCTGACCACCATGCTTGCTGAGCCGCTCTCAGAGGCTACAAACTCAAGTTGAAGGCAGCAAGCAGTGTCCTGACCTGGCAGAGCTGGCTTTGCTGTGAATCACATCTCCTGCCTCCAGCTTGCCATGGGCCTGGGGAGGAAGCTGCCGTGGTTCACACAATCTAATTTCCCAAGGGTGGAATTGTTCACAGTGGCTGACGAGGCCATTGTGAAGGCCCGGTTCAGCTGCTCCAGGGTCCAGTTGGGCCTCTGAGCTTTTCGGAGCAGGACGATTTCTCCTGGGAAAGGAGGCCGGGGAGAGGGACGGAGGCCTTGAAGCTTGGCAAGATGAAAAGGGAGGGGACTTCCACCTGCCCTGACAGCTGTTCCAACTCCTGGAGGTCCTTGGCAGCTGCCCAAGACCCCTCTGTGCTGCAGTGATGAGGACTCTGGACACTGCTGTGTAATCAAGAACTCGCTGGTCTTGGCTTTGAGCATTAATCATAGGTGACACCAGGTCTCCCAGAGCTGATGGAAGCTGCTCCTGCTGGTGTGGAGCAGGTGGGGGAGCTGTCAGAGGCCCTGGGCGGGGGAGGGACAGGGACACATCTCTGGAGGACACTTTCTCCTTGGTCTCCTCATGGCCTCCCTGTGCTGTGGTGGGGACAGGAGCCACATGGCTGCCTAAGACTGTGGCCAGGGCTGCGAGCCTCTGAGAACCCTCGCCTCAGGGAAGGTCTGCAGAGCCACAGGCCTGTGAGCGACTGCGGGGAACTGATAATCTTCTGCATTTAAAAAAAAAAAAAAAAAAGACTGTGTTTCTTTTATCAGCCATCAGAAGAGGCTTCTTATTTATTTTTAAATTTTAAGAGAGGTTTTAATTCTAAGAAAGGGAAAACAGGTCTGCACAATTCCCTTTGCCATTCTCCCTTCCTGCCATGTCAACACAGATTGGGGAAACTGACTCACAGCCAACCGTGAGGCTGAACTTTCTTACTGTGGCTTTAGGACTTTGATTAAAGATTAGAGAACTTGGCCCTAAGGCCAGAGAAGATTTCTAGGATTCTTTTTTGATAAATCAATCTTTTGACTGCTTGAGATACTGGCTTTGGGGTATAATATTGAGTGGATAGAATCAGTATCCCGATGCTTATGTACAATCCGCTGTGTACAAGGCACATTGGTAGGCATAATAAAAAGCTCTCGAAGACTCCTTGAGGTAGTGGCATCATTGTCACTATTACCGTTTTACAGCCCAGAAAATAAAAGCCAGGAGAAGTTCAAGGTCACAGCATAAAGGTGGGATTTGGATCCAAAATTCTTTGATTCCCCTTAATCACTATTGTAGAAACACTAGAATTGTTTACCAAAAAGTTTACTTTGCAAAGGGCTAAGACCAGAAAGTATGTGTACAAAAGCTACCAGTAATGTCACTTCAGTACATGAGTGTAAGGCAGAACTAAGATCAAGTTCCAAGAATGGCAGATGTGAGCTGGTCCACAGGGAAGCAGGTGATAGGCAAGATGCACCTGCTTTTTTTTTTTTTTTTTTTTCTTTTATATACTGGGGATTGAACCCAGGGCCTTCACATTGAGCTACATCCCCATCCCTTTTTAAAGTTTTTTTTTTCTTTTAAATTTTGAGACAGGGTCTTAAAAAGTTTCTTGTGCCGGGCTCAAACGTGTGATCCTCCTGCCTCAGCCTCCTTCAGTGCTGGAGTTACAAGTGTAATCCATGCCCAGATGTACGCTCATGTCTTCTTGTATCCTTCTTGAGAATAAACAAAGAACCAAGGCAGCAGAAATTTTAAATCAATGAGTTTGGAAGATTAAATTGAAGAAATTTCCCCAAAAAGTTAAGTAAAAAGTTAAAAAGAAGGAAGATAAGAAGGGAGGGAGAGAGAAGGAAGCCAATTTAAGAGTTCTAGTATCTGGTAAATAGGAATCCCTGCAATACCTTACAGAGATTGTCAAAGAGAAATGACTTTAGCGATCACCTTACAAGCTTATTTTACTTTTTAACTCTGCATGACTCGTATTTTAATTTAGCAGAACAAAACAAAACAAGACAAAAAATCCGAGTAAACATCAGCAACAACTAAACACATGCAAATGGTTGGAAATACAGGCAGTGCATTTAAGTATGAAGCATCAATAGTCGCCTCCATTTGCTGCACACCTGTGTTCTATCTTTTGTAATGTTGCGAGACAGCTTACCCTTGTGTAAACAGAAAGTGCTGACTGCATGCCCAGCACTTCTTAGATGTCACTTCACTTGTCCTTCACAGGAACTAAGTTAGGTTGGTTTAATTATTTAAATTTTATGGATGAAGAAGTAGGGTCAGAGAATTGAATAACACAGTGCAGTCTCGTAGCCAGTGGTGGAAGAGCAGAGTCCAGCTCAGCCCTCTTAGATGTCCCATCATCTGATCTTAAACTAGAAATCTAAGAGCAAGCACTTATTAAGCATAACCTCTTATATAACCAATGACATTCCTTGCTTCCACACTTCCAGATTTTCTTTTTTATTACTTTAATCCCTCGTTTTGCTGAAGCACATCCTCTAGTAGCTGTCTCTGAAAAGGTACATGGTAGTTGCTATATGGTATGCACTGTTCTATGTAGATAATCTTTGGTATGTGAACTATCCTATTTAATACATACAACAACTCTATGAGGTAATTATTCCTGCTCTCTTCATTTTGCAGAAGAGGAAACCAGTGCTCTGAGAGATCCAATAACTGTCTGTCTCATCTTGTATCCCCAGTAGAATTTAGCATGGGGCCTTACTCTTAGGAGATCTTCAACACATATTTATATTTTTTATTTATTTTATTTTATTTTTTTTGGTACGGGGGATTGAACTCGGGTCCTTGCTCTTGCAAGGCAGGCCACCGAACCGCTGAGCTAAATCCCCGGCCCCACATATTTATATATTTATTATAAATATCTAATCTTGAATAAAATAAACAATGAGATTGGTATTGCTTCAAATCCAGAAAGCTTCGGAAGTGAGGGCAGACACTGGGTGAACAATGGGGAAAGACATTTTTTCTTTCTAAGAGGAGTCCAGCACTGAATCTTTAGAACCAGAATTTAGCCAGGAGTCAGTTAGATAAATGCATCTCTGGTTAATTGATTTGCCTGAGTGATTGGAGTGACCAGCTTGAGATGCAGGGTTTAATTACTCCAATGAAACTCCTCCTAATTGAAAGGACATCTGGCAAAAAAAAAAAAAAAAAAAAAAAAAAAAAAAAAAAAAAAAAAAAAAAAAAGGGCAAAGATTGTTTAGGATACTCTGCTGCCTGTGAGAAAGGACTGAAGAGCTGACAGCCCTGAGGCATTGCCTTCCACCCAACTCCCACCCTCCAACTCCCCTTCATGCTTACGAAAAGGGCACTTGCAGAAGGAGCTAGAAACTTCACCCTGCGAGATTCTCCTTCACATCACAGTTAACTTGTTAACCTCTGTCTATCTCAGCTCATTCAACCAAAATGTTGACAGGATAATATTTCCCATCAATTAGCATGTGTGCAGCAATCAGTAGAGCTGCACTGATACATATTTTGAAAGCAGCAATTATCATCTTAAATTTACAGTGGAGGGGCAGATACTGCCAGCTGCCAGCCCAATATCCAATCTCTCTTGTTATCCGATCCCCAATTTTTTGCAGCATTAACTGAGCCCATCTTAAAAACTGTATTCCTAGCCTCTCTTCCAACTAGAAGTGGCTGACTGATACAATTCTGCATAAGTATAGGTTCTAGGTGAGACATCAAGGTAGCCTCTTTAACAGGGGTAGGGATTTGGGTGACAAGAACCTTTTATCTTTCCTTGTCTTCCTACCTGGAATGTGAGTGTGCTACTTGGAAGTAGGGCAGCTACCCTGTGACCATGAAGACAAGGCCATATTCTAAAGATGATTGAATAGGATGCTACAAGAACCTTGGGTAATAGGTGACACTCTTGGAAATCTAACCTTTGAATTCTTGGTCCATGAGAAGAATAGCATCACTAGTATGTATAAAATCTGATTTTATTTCTATTACTTAAAATTGAAAGAAATATCCTAACAGATACAGGTGATGTATAAAACTCATGCCTTCTAAGTCAGACTGGTTCCAACCACAGACTTCTGAGCCCTGAAATCTAAGCAAAAGCCTTATCTATTTGCTCCTGTTCCTTTTATCTAGTTATAAAACCACGGTGGGCAAGTGATCAGCAAAGCACTACCCATGTGTAAATTACCATGGGGGAATACACAAATGAGGTGCCACTGGGGGACCAACAAGGCAGAGAGGACACAGGGATCCCCTGAAAAACTGGACTAGCGGCCTCCATTGTCACCCAGGTAGCAATACTCCTCAGTGGGCTGTACCACTTATTCTCAGGTAATCCCAGCAAAGGGGCAGTGGTTTCTGTGGATATAAATGTACCTTTTAGGACAGGAAAGAAGCATTCATAGGAAGTAAGAGTGGGAGGGTGTGGCCCTATCACAGATCCCAGAGACCTAGGCTATGCCCCGACACCTTCTGTGGGAGCTTTGTTCTCAACCCAAGACATCTGAATTTGTTTTTTTCCCCCTCTAAGTTTATTGGTACATTTATATTTATCACTGGGATCTTGTACCTTTACATGATATCAAGGCATCTGATTTTGGAAGGACACATACCTCTTACATTACTGAGAGAGACATTGCTCCTCCCAGCTTTTATTTTTCTGATAGTACCGCAGGAACGCTTTTAA